AGATCCATTAAGGTGGAACAAGAAAATGACAAGAGGCTGTCGTACTGCTGATGAGGTGATGGCTTGTGCTGTGGAATGACCAGACTGCACAGATTTGGGAGCTCTCTGTCTGAGGAGGGAGGGCTTTAGTAGTTCTGGCTTCTTGGAACTCCCTCAAGAATCCTGTGGAGGGCAGGAACAAACTGCATAGCAGGTCTGGCAGAGACAGTGCTCACAGGCCTCCCGGCCTGGGCTGTATATTCTTCTAGAAAGGTTGGCTGTAAATTGAGCATAATTTTATGTATTGTTTGTATAAACATTGTTAAGACAGGAATACTGATTAAAGTGTGAGTCTTTCACTGCTTACAGCTGTTCACCCTTTGGCACGTTACGTTACTTCTCTGAAGCTCAGTTTCCACTTTTGTAGTTAGTGCGCAAAGCAAGCAACACTATGCTTACTAGGGAGATATCATCCCATCTGCGTAATGATAGTGAAGAGATGTGCTTGGCACACATAAGTGCTTAGCTGGAAAACTGTTGTTATTCTTGTGTCCTCATTATTTTCATTGTTGGTGAACCTGACCTTTCATCCCTTAGCCCCTCCTTTCCCATTTGCCTTAAGATTAGGGCCAGGATAGCAGTGATCTTGCTATTTTTCTTTTCCAAAGAGTGAGAAGAGGGTGGTGGGGGATTGTGAGTGACTTGCCCCCTGTGTCAGTCTCCCTGGGGAATCTTGCCTTTTGTTTTAACACAAATTCTAGCACCCTAAACTCCACTTTCCTCCTTCTTTATCTTTTGCTGTACTTGCCTCTGAGCCTTGGCATTTCCCCACTCAAAAGTTAAGCCTGAATGAAACACTCTGATCTCTAGTTAGTGGGTGGCTGCCCTTGAGGTTGTCTTCATCATTGCTGAGTACTTGGCTGTGGAGTGCTCCGTCATTTTGGGACTTCCAGATTTGTTCCCTGTTCACTGTCTTTTCCCCTTCTTCCTCCTCTTCTTGCTTCCACCGTTGTACCCAACAAGGGTGTCTCTTTCCCAGGCATTGCAGCCTCTGTCTGGAGCCCTTCTCAGAACATCCTGCCCTACACTTTCTTGAGTCTCCTCCCCTCTTGTGCTCATTTGGGTTTTCAGGGCGCTCTGTGGGTGCTGCTGAGTAAGACATGGGCAAAGCAAGTGGGTGGGTCCTCCCAGTAGAGATTGTGAGGGTTAAATGTCTGGAGACATTTAGAAAAAACTGCAGACTACTTGGTGGAAAGTGGTCTTGTCAGGATGGACCTTGTCACCCTTTGTGCGTAGTGATGGGGACAGTGGGGAGGGATGTCCACCTCTGAAACAAACATGAGGAAACAATGAATCTAGAAAGTATTCTGTTAAGTAGTCCTCATTCCCTTGGAGTGAACGTGGGTAAGAGCGGGTGGGAAAGCTCTGCTGTCATTTGGAAGGCGATGGGGATGGCTGCCTCAAAGAGCCTGCTGGTGTGTCTGACTGGCTTGCATGGCATGTGGTCTTGTGAAAGTCCAGCAGGTTGCCCCATCTTTTTTGCCTTACATATCTTTTGGAAAACATAAGCTCCTGGCTACAAAGGTAAAGGTCTGTCAGGGCTGCTTCAGGCAGATCTTTTTATGTATGTTCATTGTCATGCTGTATTTTTTTCTCCCCCAGGTGTGAGGAGGTTTTGAGTGACAGTGTCTAGATCAAGATATAGATTGGTTTTTTTTTAATTGTTGTAAACGCTTTAATTAAAAATGTAGGAAAATGGTTAATTCTAAGTAAACATATGCCATCTCTGTTAGGGCTACAAGTAGAGAGCCTTTAGGGTTTTGTAAGTGATGTTTATAACTTCCCCTTTGAATATAGAAAGTCCCCACTTTTATTCAATATATATTGAAAACTGCCTAGTAACATGGGTCTTCATATCCCCTACATGCAGCAGAGAAGATAAGGAAAAAATATAATGATCCACTTCTCCCTGTTCTTGAAATAGGAAAATTGTTTAAAAAGTCACTAAACTAGGGTAAGTCCCACAGACTCATTCCTTTATGGGCTTTGCTCTGTTTGGTGATATACATGTCCCTGCTTCTTAAACTGGCACATGTTTCCCTTGGGGGACGTAATCTTTTGCTGAGGATCTGCATGGCACATTTGGGATGCCAGTTCTAGGCAGGAGGGAAATAAAGGGCTTATATTTAATATAGCTCCATTGTGGTGTTATTCAGTTAATATAAAGGCTTTTTAAAACATTAAATCTCCTCTCCATTTTAATGTCAATATAAAGTATTTATTTTTTACATTAATTTTTTTCTCCATTTCAGTATTAGGTACTTTGAATATACTTTTTAACCACCTCCCTCTCTAAAGAGATAACAGTTTTAAGTTCATTGGCTGTATTTGATATCTAAGTACAGTATTAACTTGGACAATAACAAGACAAAAATCTAATAAAAATATGGAGAAAGGACTCTTATGGTGCAGAAGGCAGTGCTTACAACTCAACAGTGGTGACCTCCAAGGAGTCTGGGCAAGGGTTTCTTTCTTCCAATTTCATGTGCTTTGCAAATTTTGATACTATGAAATGTTGCTTACACAAATTTCAGCCAACTTCTTTGACCTTCTTTCTAACTAGCAAATACAAATTATAGACTGAGTTTTCAGTGCGTTATTTGTTGTGGAAAAAACCCATTTTTTCCATTTAACATGCATGTACATCAGTTTATTCCCATTTACAGGGAAACAACTAAGAATAGAAAATTATCCTATTTACTGTTCCTTGGGAACTTTCAGACACCAAAACTCAGTTTTTACCCTGAATAGCACAAATGATTGCGGGGCAAGGTATAATTCAGGAGGCCCTTCAAAGTCACACGTACCCATTTCTCTTTCGTGCATATTCCCCACACAAGCACAAATGCCTGTACTGCAGAGCTCCAGACCTGAGGAGAGTGACTATGCCTCCAGCTTCTACTGCTTCAACAGGCAGCACCAGAAGCAGTGAAACGAGGACTAAGAACAATTGCGTTGAAACTGAGGTTATGATGTTGGGACCTTGAGATGGCTGGATCTTGAGCACCAAAGGTTTCAAAGAAATGATATATGCATAATTCTGACTTGAAATCCTTCCTAGAGCTCTGAATGCTGAGGCTAAGAGGTTCTCTGTGGCAGTGCCTAACAGGAAGCAGCCATTATAGGAATGACCAGGAAGGAAATATCTTTAAACCAGTGTCTCTCAGTCTTAGTGCTGCTGATATTTTGGGGCCAGATAATTCTTCCTTGTAGGATCTGTTCTGTGTACTGTAGGGTGTTTAGCATCACCCCTGGCCACTACCTGTTAGGTGCTAGTCACTCACCCCCAGTTGTGATGACCAAAATGTCTCCAGACATTGCTAAATGTCCCCTGGAGGGAGAATCACTCCTGGTTGAGAGCCACTGCTTTAAACAGACAAGGATATGATATGATCAAGAGTGGACAATGTGCATGGACATTAAACCAAAATGTGCACCCAGCTCCTCTATTGCGTTGAGGCAGAACTTAATGTTCTGGCAACTATTTTATTTTTCCTTTTTACTCTCTGTTGAACTCTCAAATTTGATATAATTCTTTCTTTGATTTGTTTGTATTTCACATTTTCCTGGTTTATCCAAAGTATTTGTCAAATGAAAAGTGTCCTTAGCAGAACTCCTTGAACAGGAGGTTGTTTCCTACTTCTCTATTTTTAACCTTCTTGTAGGCGTGTCTTTACATTTGCTGGACAGCTTGGCCAGGTTTATTCATTCTCAGTGGGAAATTAACTGGTTCTAAGAACTGACATCATCTAAATAGAGTGCCAGTGAATGTTCTCTGTCCTTTCTCACCCCCACCTGCTGTACTGTTTTTATCCCCCCATAAAACTGTAGGCACACCTAGGCACGTTTCATTGTACAGTGCCAACCCTTGCAGGCATCTTTGGTGCCTTTTATTTTTGAAGCCAAATTCTCCAGATGCTTGTTAATCATTGGGTGGATCTCTTTTATTACCCCAGCTATACTTCTGTTGTTTAAAATTGAGGTTTTAATTTTCTTCTTCACCAAACCTTGGAGGTATAGAGTCCAGTAATTTCCTGCTTTTGACTTTTGTTTAGGTTTTCTCTTAGCTTGAAGCATTGCACTTTTCCTTATTAAATGATACCAGACTCTCTGAGTATATCAGGTCCATCTTGGATCTAATAGTGTTGATCTCCTTCTTTCTCCTCACTTACCTTCTAAACTCCTCTCCTCTTTTAATGGGGCAGAGGTGGGGCGTGGCGGTGGGGCAAGTTTGGATTTCTTTTTTATGTTTATATTGTTATTTTATGAATGTTTTGGCTGTTTTTTTGTGTGGCATTCTAATCCTTTTAAAGGAATTAGAGTGGCCACCTACCTGGAATTCTGTGTGGCCATTCAACTCTAGATTGGTTTTATCTCTTTTTAGTGCTTTGAGTGCCTTCCCCTGCCTTTAATTGGGCACCGATAGGGAATTTAGAGTCTTAATATCCAGTCAGTCATGCATTGTACATCCGCTATAACTGCACTGTGTAGTATGGTTACCATTAGCCACAGGTGGCTATTGAAATTGAAATTAAAATTAGACACAATTAAAAGTTCACTTTCTTTCTTATACTAGCCACATCTCAAATGCTTGGTAACCTGTGGCAAGTGACAAGTTAGGTTGGACAAGGCAGGCGTAGAACATTTCTATCACTGCAGAGTTTTATTGGATAGTACTGGGCTATAAGATACAGAGAATAATACATGTCAAAAATACATTTTTTTATCCCTAGTATTCTGATGTTTTTGATGAGATATGGTCCTTTTTTCCAGGGGATATTCAGAATCACTCAGTGACTGTAAGTGCAGAGGGGTAGGGACTCAAAAAGTAATTAAGCAAATATGACTTTGGAATTTGGGTATAATTTGTACTCTGATTTTTCCTTGCAGAAAATGTGATGACCGTGGGTCCTGCATTGTTTGCGTGCTTGAGATGATTTGTCTGCTTTCTCTTTTCCTAGGTGCTAAGAGATGGTGCTTGTGGGGTTCATCTCTGCCTGAGAATCAGGTGCTCCAGGTGCTGGAAAAGCCAACTCTGATCCTGGGCTCCCTGCTTGAACAAGCCTTCACTTCCAGCCACTCCAGTCCAACGACCAAACAACCGATTTTCTCTTAATGATGGGTATTGGTAAGAACACTACGTCCAAATCCATGGAGGCTGGGAGTTCAACTGAAGGCAAATATGAAGACGAAGCAAAGCACCCCGCTTTCTTCACTCTTCCGGTAATAGCATTCCCTGTCTTCCTTTGTTTTTAATCATCCTAAAGTAGTTTCTGTATTGAATCAACATAGGATTCTCTCTCTCTCTCTTTCTTTTCTTTCTTTCTTTCTTTCTTTCTTTCTATTTATTTATTAACATTTTTTATTGTTCTTCAAGTACAGTTTTCTGCCCTTTCCCCCCACCGCCTCACCACCATCCAGCCCTCCCCACTTCCCTCCTGTTTCCACCCCCCCCTTGTTATTGTCCATGTGTCCTTTATAATTGTTCCAACATAGGATTAACTTTATTTAATACTCCTGTTTGCAGTGCTGATTAAGCCACTTGAAAACCAAATGCTTTTCATGGGAGCCCATCTTTGGGAGCCGTGGTGGCTGTCTGGTTTTGGCCCTGCTCTCTGCCAGGAGTCACCTGATGGGAATAACTTCAGGAAGGAAGCACTCATTGCTGTGAATGTTGTAAAGCTGACCCAGTACTTCCTCTACACTGCAGGATGTTGAAGGCTTAATTTTATCTCCAAAAATGTGTTCTTTTGAAATAGCCAGTAACTCGACTTCAGACTTGTATTCCAAGGTGTGGGAGATTGAATGAATGACTTATTGTTTGGAACCCAAATGTCCATGCTTTGCATTATGGCAGCAGCGTCCAAGACAGAGGTAGTTTTACCCGGACAAGTGATATTAGTCAGACAAAACTGACGACACGCACTCATTATATTCAGTGCTAATATTCTTCCACATGTAGGAGTATGACTTGATGTATATAAAGTTACCTAAAGTGTAGATTTAAAAAGGAAAACTCTTTAGAGAGAGCTTACCTCTCTCTAGAAGGGCCTTCAAAGACATCTTATTCATTCTGCTTGTATTCAGTGCTTGCTTTGTGCTCCACACTGTACCAGACATGACAAGAACACAACAGAAGTAGTTGCCCAAGCTTCCTGTCTTCCCCACCCTGTGAGGCCCACCCTCAGCACCTTCCCTGCTGCCACTGCTTTCTTTGGGTCATTTCTTGTCTAGATCTTTATGACAGCCTCTAGATGGCCTCCCTGGCTCCCAGCCTCATTCCTTTACAACCCCTGATTGTCATTTCTGCCTGTGTCTTTTGCATTCCTAGACTCAGTAAGACTTCCTCTTCTTTTAAGTGTAGATGCCTGCCGAAACTCTTAACCTCTAAATTATCCATCCACTCCTAATCTGTGTTCACCTAAGCTAGGTAGGCAGGCTCCTGACCTTTAATGATTAGAGGAAAGATATTTTAGATAGGTTTCCTATAATGGAAGCATAATCTGTTGGAGAAATAGCTAATTTCCTGTTGGGATTTGATAAAATAGTCTAGGAGGAAGGTAGGTTACAGAAGGTTCTATGGTAGTAGTAATTACTCAGTGGTCTCTGTTGCTTCCTTTAATTTTACATGTTTTAAAGCATCCATATTTCTCCCTCGCTTCATGGTACATGTGTGTTGTCAGAGTGAAATGGAAATAGCAAGAAAATTGATGTGTTCTTTCACTGTATCTTTTTAATATTCACATATATATCTTTCCTTTCATGTCTTATTATTGGCATAACTTCATTTACAAAAGAAATACATTTACTCCAGAAAATTGAGAAAACAGAATGCTAGAATGAGGGAAAAATCCAAATAATTTAAAATCCTGTCAGCCAGAAAAATAGCATTCTTATATTTTGGTGTATTTCTTTCAAGAGATGAAACAAATGGTGTTCTTTTTAGGTGAACTTTGGAAGGCTCTGTGAAGAAGCTTTTCAAAGGTGTGTTAACCTAGATGTACAAAAACAGTGGACAGGGCTTGCTTACAGCAAAGATAAACCTTTTACTAAGGGAGTCACAAGCTCAGGGTGTGACTACTGCCATGATGAGCCTAGTTACGAGTTTGTGATCCTGTCACCCTGAGAGGTTACTTTCTGTAGAACCCCCTTTCTGCCCACAACTTTCACTTGGACTGTGGGTTGTTTCTAATTCATTAATGTAATAAACAATAACCTAGTGTAATATAATCTTATTGCAATAGTTTATATTCCCAGCAGCTCTGGAGAGAGGATTCTCCCCTACCAGTACTAGATATTAGATGTAAAAAGCAGCAATTTAGTAGTGAAAGACTGGTATCTAATTGCTTTAGTTTTGCATTTTAATGAGGCAGAGCACTTTCATTCCTGTGTTTCTTGGCCTTTTATATTCTGTCCTTTGTGAGCATCTTCTCTACCCTCCTCCCCATTTACTCTGTTGAGCTGTCCTGATAATCAGAAGTGCCACAGAACTATTAGAAGTTAGAATTGCAGAGAAAATCCTGGGTCACATAGCAGTTTGAGGGAAAGCCTGTAGCAGTGCGAGCCTTGACTGAGCTGTGACTGTCATTACCCACAGCCCCAAGCTCCGTCTATGGAGAACAGCTTCATGTTGAGGGCTTAACTTTGGGGCTTTAAATGTAAGTCTCAATTTACAGCCACTTCATACCCATGCGAACCTGTGCATTTGCTCATGCTTGGAGTTGCAGGATGTTTGAGAAGTAAATGAGATCATACATATCAACCACAGATCATGTACACAGTAGCCTACTAATCAGTCCCTGTCCTGCGTTTTCACCAATGCTCCTTGAACCAGAGAACAGTGATACAGAAGGGTGGATAGGGACCTGAACAGAAACTAATGCTGTGACTTCTGTACAGATGTGACGGGCTTCGGGAAACAGTCCTGCCTGACTCCTCTGATAGGCTTCTTCCAGGGAAACGAGTATGTGAGCCATGGATGGGGGCAGGGGACCATATGGGGAGTAATTATCTAGATATTTTTTTTAAAGCCTTAGGATCCTGGAGTACTTAAACTTTCTGGCCATTAGTTTTCCACATCTGTAAAAAGGGACTAAACATAGCATCTGTTTCAGGCTTTTTACAGGGATCAAATGAAGAAATACATGTAAATTTATGAACATGGTATCTGGCTCATAGGAAATGTGCAATAAATAAGAGAATAAGTAGAAACTAGTGGTCAGTTTAGCTAAGTGTGAAGATGCTCTGACAAAACTTTTTGATCAAAACATTGGAAGTCACATTGAAGTGGGAGAGAATCTTTTTCTTCATCCCCTCTCCTTGAAGGAACTTCCTTGTGGTTGTGTTCATAAAAAGTAGAAAAGAAAGAGATCCAGAGGGAAGGGGTCTTGCTGTCACGCTTGATACGGTGGTGTGAGGGTCTGAGGCTGTCAGGAAAAGGGTTCCACACGATGCGTGGCTGTGGGGCAGAAAGCATACTTCTCTCGGTGTTACGGGTGTTTGCTTAAATGGGCTGGTACTTCCGCGGACTGTTCTGTGACTTGCTTCATCACATTTAAGAGGACATCCTAGACCTTTCCCTAGAAGGTTTGAATGTATTTTCCTCATCCTCCTTAGCAGCACCCTGGTATTTAACTTAGAGGAGGTCTCATAATTTTGTGAATTGTTCCTTGAAGGGAGTTCTGGCTTTACATTTTTATTTTTTTTTAAACACTAGGTAATATATCAATATGATTCAAAATTTAAGAATACAAAAGGTATAGAGTGCAAAGTCCCCTGCCTGCCCTTGTACACATCAATTCTCCCCACACACCACTTTTCATAAATGGCTTGTGACTGTGTATGCAAATACAACACATTCTCATCTCCTTTTGTACACATGTGCATGTGTATCTAAATGACTGTGTCTGTAGCTCTGCTTCCCTTGCTAATATGCAGGGTGGGGCAAAGGTAGGTTTGCACTTGTGGGTATGCAAAACAGTTTATTCTTGTATTATATGTTATTGTATTATTTTACATATGAACAACTGCAATTCTACTTTGCCTACCCCTATATGATAGATGATGTTCTGTACATTCCCTATCAAAATATAGAATGCCCTGTTGTAATGCAGGAGCTCCAAACTGGGGAGCTGCTTAAGTGTTAGTGATGTTCTGGGGAAAAAAACACCCAGAGGACTAGCAGATGTGGACATGCCATTTATTACTCACATTACACAGGAGTGCACCAAGATGGCAGCAGGTTGGTGCAAGAGAGACTGTATCCCACTATGTCCGAGACTTGTAAGGGGTCCCAGACAAAGTCCCATGTGTCCTACATGGGACTCTAAACTATGGTACCTCTTTGTGTGAAGGTCAAGAAGAAGTTACAGGACAGGAAGCCACTCCCAAAAGATGATAAGGAGGAAGTTACAATCCATTTCCAAAACAATAGACCTTCCTTCTGACCAGGGGTCTGTCTGGCCAGCTTTCAGTCTTGTGAGGGGTGAAGACCATGTATTGATACCACACCTAAACGAGGTCTGTCTGGAAAAAGTCCAGCCATTGTTAATATAACAAGAACAGTTTGTATAACATTGGTTTGTGTAACATTGATGTAACCTGGCAGCAAAGAAGAGTGGACTGGAATGCGCATGTGTGAACAGTGACGAATTCACTGGACTCGTCAGTTGGGGGGTGGGTAGAAGCTGCTGAATGAGCATGTGTACTGTGTGGCCATTGCATTCAAAATGCCGAGCAAGTAGGGGGAGGAATCTGCATCCAGTTTTGCGTTAAGCTTGAACATTCCTCTGCAGAAACTATTCGGATGATTCAGAAGGCTTTCGGGGACAATTCAATGAATGCAGTGCAAATAAAAAGTGTGGCACAGATGCTTCAAAGGTGATTGGGAATCTGTTGAAAGTGATCCATGTTCTGGAAGCCTGCAACAAGGAGAACGCCTGAGAATGTTGAATGTGTACAGGCTGCAATTGGCAAAGCTCAAAGTGCAAGAACTAGAAGCCCATCTGGGGATACCAAAAACTACTATGTCTGAGATTTTGACTCAGGATCTTGGCATGATATATGTCATGGAAAAATTTATTTCACAATTTCTATCAGAACAGAAGGAACATTGTTCTGCAGTTGCTAATGATTTGATTCAAACTGCTACCTATGAACCAGATTTCCTCAAGAAGGTTATTATATCTGGAGATGAATGGTGGGTCTATGCCTATGATCTGGAAACAAAGGCCCAGTCATCGCAATGGAAGTCACCTGGTTCTCCACGTCTACAGAAGGTGCTGCAAAATCGCAGCAAGATCAAGATCACATTAACCATGTTTTGTTTTTTTTTTTTGGATTGGGAAGGTGTGGTCCATCATGAGGCCAAACAATTAATAGGGAGTACTACCTCAATGTTCTTCATTCATTGAAAGATGCACTATGACGAAAATGGCCACAGCTATGGACAACCGGTAATTGGCAGCTTCATCATGACATTGTATCTGCTCATGCATCATCACATCTTGTGCAGAGTTTTTTGGCAAAACATCAAATCACCTAGGTGACTCAGTTCCCCTGAAGCCTAGATTTGGCACCCTGTGACTTCTGGCTTTCTCCACAACTAAAATCACCTTTGAAATGGTAGAGATATCAGACCATTGATGAAATTCAGGAAAACACAACGGGGTAGCTGATGGTGATTGAGAGAACTGTGTGAGGTCCCAAGGCGCCAGCTTTGAAGGGGACTGAGACATCATTATCCTATGTACAATGTTTCTTGTCTCTTGTTACTTCTTCAGTAAATGTCTCTTTTTCATATTACATGGCTGGATACTTCTGGACAGACCTCGTATACTGCAGAACATCTATAGTATGAATGTATCATAATTGATTTAAATATTCCTATTTGATAGACATCTAGATTGTTTCTAATATTTTGCAACAGCAAATAGCAGTGAATAACCTTTCACATAGATCTTTTCACTCAGATGTAAGAAAAGCGTAAGTTTCCAGGAATGGGACTGTTGGGGCAGAGGGTGTGCCTTGTTAAGTTGAGGGGCACCACCAAGTGCGCTCTGTTGAGATCATTTCATTCCCATCAGCAACATGTGAGTGCCTGTTTTCCTATAGGCTTGCCAGTGGAACGTAGTTGGACTGGGGTCTTGGCCAACTTAGTAGATGGAAAAAATTTTCTGTTGGAGGATTTTTTTTTCCCCTTTAGATTTTTATTTATTTATTTTTAGACAGAGGTGAAGAGATAGAGAAAGAGGGAGAGAAACATCAATGTGTGGTTGCCTCTTGCAGGCCCCATACTGGGGACCTGGCCTGCAACCTAGACCTGTGTGTGCCCTAGTTTGGTTCACAGGCGGGCACTCAATCCACTGGGCCATACCAGCCAGTGCAAACCTTTTCATTAAAGAATAGAAAACAGTCAATTTGAGGAATGTTATTACTACTCTGAAAATCATTGTTTTAGTATAAAATGGTTCACTTAGCTACCAGACATATGGCAGTGGTTGGTGAATTACACCAGATCCTAAATAGATAATGATTGAGTTCTGAACCCTCTGATGAGAGGCGCGGGGTTTCCCATGTACTTGTGCCCTTCACCTTACAGGTATCCTCTGCCACGGGTTCATTTTAACTTCTGTTTGAGTAACACATGCTTATTCCACTGTCAGTTAAATTGGCATTGCTGTGATACTGACATTCAGCTTGACACTCCTTCACTATTGCTCCTATCCTGTTTCCTGTACATTTGACCATTTTAGGATTACTGTTCAGAAGCACATACTTGAGGTATTGTCTTAGCTTAGAAATAAAGCAGTAAGTATAATGCAAAAGCACTATATTTATTGAGCAATAGACACATTTCTGTATCCAAAGGCAACAGCCCTATGTTTTGGAGACAAACAAAATCAACTGGACAAATTCCAGCAGAGAAAACCTGCTTTCATAACTGATGTTGTGATTGTACAATATTAGTTTAAGGGGGAAATATAAAGCCACAAGTTCGGTTTCAAGCAATTTTGAAGGGGAGAAAGGACATGTTGGTTGTTCCCGAAGGAGTTTTAAATAATATATTTTTAATAAAAATATGATCAATTTCCTGAGATGAAAGATGTCAGGATTTCCTTGTTATCTGTGATGTTGTTAATGACACAAAAGAAAATCCATTTTTATTAAGTTTAGAAAGCTTTCCAAGATATGTTTTATTTCCCAGTTGAAATATAAAGGGATAAAAATGTGACACTTTGATAGTATCAGGAGCATTTTTTATACTTCTTTAAAAAAAAGTCAACACCTTTTTTTAAAAACTGATTTTAACAGATTTTTAAAATTAAATTCTATGTTTTTTAAAAAATAGGCCATCAAAATAGCTAATTTAATAAGCCAAAGGAAACGTAGTAGTAAAATGTGTCGTACTCCCTGGCACCCCGTTGTGTTCTGAGTTTAGTTAGTGGGTACCATTAACCTGGCCCCACCCTAGGTGTCACAGGGAAGGGTTGTGTGGCAGGACTGCATCCTTATTGCCTGGGCGCAGTGGGTGCTCAAACAGGGTTTGATGAATGAGTATATGAGCCCTTTCCTAGCCTGGGGAGTATCTGCATTTTATAGTATTTAATTGTGTGTGTGAATGGAAGTCGGGAGGAGAGGGAGTTGCCAAAGTCTCCTCTTTGGAGCCATATATACAGATTAAAAAAATGGGTTTTGAGGTGAAACTTACAAAAAATTGACAATTTAAAAGTGAACAATTCAGTGACTTTGAACACACTCACAGTCTTGGGCACCCATCACCTCTGTCTAGTTACAAAACATCTTCATCATCCCAAAAGGTAACCCCTATTCTCATGAGACTCCCTGTGGCAACTGGAGATGACTATGGGTGAAGGTATTTGTTTTAGCTAGGATAGGGTGCTAAATCAGATCTTGGTTTCTTTGATATTTAGTAACTAAACATTGTTGTTTTAAGACAGTTCATCCTGAGTGTATGTACCTCTTGGCTTCTCAGTGGGTTGAGTGCTGCTGTGATATGACTTGGAGAATGGTTCTAATAGTAAGTTAGAGTTTCATATAGTGGACTTGAACTTGGCCAGGAACATGTGTCCTGCTGGCAGCTTATTTTTCAGGCCAACAAACTCCACAAAGCCAGTTGCCTTATGTAAAAAACTGTAGCATGTCTTCGTGTTAGTTTTAAAAGGAGCTCTTGGTTTGATATAAGAAAATTTGCCCTGTAAGAATTATATACCACTTAATCGAGATCTTTGGCGTACTTTAAAACTGGCTTCAGACAGGGGTTGTAATCTATGTGACCTTGAATGAGAAATTAAAACTTTCTCTGGCCTGATTTCTTCAACTACAAAAATAAGTGGATTAAATCTCTCTGGACCTCCTCAACCTAAGGTTTTGCTTGGATCTTTAGTCTTTTTAATTTCTTCCTGTTGTAAAAATTAATTGTCCTCATTAGAGAAAATTACCGACATAAAAAGGGAAAAAGAAGGTAAAAATGGCCCAATCACTGTTAATATTTTGGTGTACATCTTTTTTATTACCGGTTTTAAAAAAATAATATGCAAATAACATGGAACTGATTTTAAAAGATCCCAATGCTAAAAAGAATGGTTGGGAGTGAAAAATGAAAGGAGCCCATCCTTACTCCCTACGCCTTGGGCAACCTTCATATTGGGGTGTGACTTTTCTGGCTCCTTGACCAAGCATCTAGACAGGGAGGTTATTAAAATTTTATTTTATTTTTAGCACAGTTAAGATAATTCTGTGCTTATTGTTTTGTGACTTCTTTTTACAGTATTTCTTGGAGTTCTTTCCTTGTCAGTACCTCAGTTTTATTCTTTTTTTAATGGTTGAATATTATTCTCAAAATGGATATAGCAAAATTTAACAATGTCTGTCTGTTTGATGAACATCTAGATTGTTTCCAGGTATTAAGCATTTTAAGTAATGCTGCAACTGTCAACCTCGAGAATGCATGCTACTTGCATGGATATTTTTGAAAGAAAGGAGTATATGAGTATAGTTGCTGGTCCTAGAAGTGCCTGTTTTAAATAAATCCCAGTGCTAAGTTACTCTGCACAAAGGCCATTCCACCAAGAACGTAATCTTTCTAATAACTTAGAGTAGCTTTTCTCTCACATCCTGGTCGTCACCAGGTACCCCTTTGAAAATTTTCCCCTAATTTATTTTTTAAAAATGAAAATTTATTTTAATTGTCATTTCCATAATTTTAAATGTGGTTGAGCAGCATTTTGTGTGTTTTGTTGGATAACCTAATTTTTTTCCTGTAGACTTGTATATCCTGCCCTGTGCCCATTTCCTTTGGATTGCTTGTATTATGGATTTGCAGGTGTTCTTTTTTTTCCCCATATAAATTTTTTTTATTTTCTAATATTTTTTTCACCTGCAAACTGTAGGAAAACAGGTTTTTTAAGGATACATTTTACAGGCATTTTTTAGGAAATTTTGATGCTGATTCTTTATGTGTTGCATTATATTCTCTCTTATGCGATCACTCATCTTTCACTTCTCTTTGTTATAGTTCACAATACCAAAATGTAAACGTTTTTATGCTTTGTCTTTTTTTCTGTGTCTAAAAATGTAGTTGTGCTGTTATTCATATGTGCAATTATTTTCAGTATTATTTTTCAAGACAGGCAGCCAGGACCTAAGGCCACTGTGTTGTGGCTCACCAGGGCAGGCCTGAAAGGGGTCTGTATAACTTTAGGAGAACACAGTGCTCGAGGGCTGTGAATAGTGCATTTCCTCCTACAGGGATGGCACATTAGAAGCCATTATTTTTACTTGGAAAGGGATCTTAACCAAGGCAGTTTATGATGCCTCTTACCAGCTCAGACATTGGCCCCTCCGCCAATTGGCAGCTTTGGCTCCTCAGCCAAGCCTCCCTTGCTCTGGAGGGCACTGGAGTCCCACTCCTTGTATTTCTTGGATGTTCCATTCCTGGTCTCGCTGAGCTGATCCTCCTGTTCATGCAGCGCACTCTATGGGACATGTGTGTTTCTCTCTATCAAAAACACACGCATGGTCACTGATGCAGTAAGCACTTGTTGGGAGTTTCATTTAAGATCACCCAAACTTGGCTAATTTGATAGGTAAAAAATGCACAGTTTTTGATTTTTATGAGAATTACGGGGCAGGGGGGATGCTTCTATACAGCAGAGAGATGTATCATGAAACAGCTTCTAAATGGAGTGTTTCTCTTCAGGTGGTGATGAATGGAGGTGCCACGTCTAGTGGTGAACAGGACAATGAAGACACGGAGCTCATGGCAATCTACACAACAGAAAATGGCATCGCGGAAAAGGTACCCACTTCCATCACCACCCCTACTGTCCCGTCGCTGCTGTCCCAGGTTCTGTACGGGATGCATGTCCTTCATCTGGGGGTTTGTCTCTGCCTGCCTGAGTAGATGTGGGTATTCTCGTTATAATGGAAATAGAGATGATGAGGAATAGAACTTACTAATTTTTAGTTCTTAATCGCAGTTAAGCTGAGTCCCATAGATAGGCCGATTACTATATATTTTTTAAAGCCTCAGCTAGCATGCCAGGGGGAAGTGGTTCAGAGTTTGGGTCTGGGTGCTAATGTGACTCAGACCCTGAGGGAATTAAACTCTGGGCATCAGTTGCCTCATCTCTAAAATGGAAGTAAACATATCAGCACTTGTCTTAGGGTTGTTGTGAGGATTAAATGAAATAAAATATGTAAAGTTACCAGAATTGCATCCGGTACACACTATGTGTGCAGTGACTAAGAGAATGAGAGAGACCAGTAGTAGGTGGTTTAAGTTGACTATGACAGGGCCTTTAATGAAGCTCAGATGAAAGCATTGGAAATCACTCACTAAAGTAGGAGAATCTTTTGCCTCATGCCACCTCCTTGATAGGTCACATTCCTGGAGGCCAGGAGAGAGCTGCCCAAAAAAGGGGGTCCAGATGCCTGGATTTCTTTTTTCTTTGTATCTATCACTGTGCCAAACACATGTGAAAAGTTTGATATAGTGGCACCTTCAGATTGCATCGCAGCCCTAAGACTTCTCAATTTCATTTGATTTTTATTTGATAGACTTTAAAAATAAAGTTTACTTTTGTGGTGAAAATTACTAATTTGATCAACTTACACAATGAGACACGGTATTCTAGAACCACTGGCATTTTACTGTGGACAGTGGATACTGTGTATTCTAGTCACAGACCACTAGAAAGCTGACACATGCAAATATAGAACCCAGCTTGGGTATTAATGCAGCAAGTGGACAGTATAATCAATTATATTGGAATTTTTGAATAATCAAATTTTTATGTGTATGCGTGGTTTCTTTTTAGAATTTCTAGTCTGGGAGATGAAAATTTCATTTTTGGTTGTCTTGACCAATATTGCTTTTTTTGGTCAATCTATTATACATTAGACTAATTAAAATCAAGCTGAAATGTTGAAATTCCTGTGGTGTTGGATTCCAGACTGCTTCCTAGAGTGGGAGATGAGAACAGCCACAGTCAGCATGTCAACTGCTGCCAGCAGTCTGCAGCTGAGACGCAGCCTGCAACAGGGCTGGATCTGTGTGGGGGCCACTGCCTGGCTTGCTTGGGTCTCAGCATCCAAGTGGCTCAGCCTCTTGTAACAAAGTGCTTCTGACTTTATAGATTTGTTAGGTTGCATCTAGTGCTGAAGTCCTGGGTCCTTAATCAGAGTCATCAAAATTTCCATGCTGTAGACTCTTACCATTTTGGGACTTCCTCCTCCATTATCTAGGAAATGATGGTTGTCTTTTGAAATGAATAGTGAGGAGCATTAACACTTTGGGGCTTTTTTAACACCTGCAGCTGTGCCTTTTACTGATGATGGTAATCTGTTGGCAAGAAAAACCGTCTAGCACATTTGTGCTGGGCAGTTATTTACCTGTATGATGAAAACTTTGTTCACTGTCTGCACACTGGTACATTTGCGTTTCCTTAAATACTAGTGAGATAGAATATCTTCCTGTTTTACTGGCCCGTTGAGTATTATATTATTGTGTATTTTTTTAATTGTTAAAAAATATTAATGGCCAAAAACCTCACAGTTAAATAGAAATGTTAAAGTTAAAAGCCAAAGCCCTCTGTGACTCTACTCCAAACTATAAAACCCAATAACCACTAATAATAGGTTGGTGTTCTTCCTTCTAGGTATTTCCATCATATAGATACTTCCTTTACTTTGCTTTTTTAAAACATAGATGAGATTATATTCTAAATATCATTCTGCAACCTACTTTTTAAAGGTTTTATTTATTTATTTTTAGAGAGAGGGGAAGGGAGGGAGAAAGAGAGGGAAACATTAATGTGTGGTTGTCTCTCACATGCGCACCCAACTGGAGACCTGGCCTGCACCCCGGCATATGCCCTGAATTGAGAGTCAAACTGACGACCCTTTGGGTCCCAGGCAGGCACTCAGTCCACTGAGCCACACCAGCCAAGGCTGAAGTGTTTTTTATGGTTGAATTTTTGTGAATGTTCATTCAAGCTTATTAGAAATGCAGACTCTCTGCCCCATCCTAGACCTGCTGAATCAGATTCTGCACTTTCATGCATTTCCTGTATGGTTCACATGTTCACTGAAGTTAGAGGAGTAACTCTGTAGTAGTTTTCAAGAGAAGAGCTGGCTCATGGGAATAAATTCCTATCCAAGAGTAACTATAGCCTGTAGGCTTGAAGGTTGTAGTTGCTGCTCTCCCATTTTCTGATATTGAATGTGGCTGTGAAGAAATCAAATCAGGCCAGTCTTTGTTTTTTTCCTTATCAATATCTTGACCTTTTGCCTTCTTTATTTATCTTTGCTATTCAGTCACTTTACTGAGATATGTTTTGATGCTGACCATTCTGGGTCAGGTTTTTCTGGCATTTTTAATATTTAGTGTCAAAGCTCCTGTCATTTGAGAAAAGTTTTGAATTATATCTTTATTTTTTGTACCAGTCTGTTCTTTCAATTTTCCTATTCGAGGGCTCCAGTTATGCGTATTTTGGATCTCCTTTGCCTTCTTTCTCAGCTATCACTTTCTCTAATGTGTTTTTTCTATTTTTTCTTGTGCTCTTTCATTTTTCATTATAACTTTCATTTTTCTTTTTTTTCCTTTTTAAAACAGATTTTATTTATTTATTTTCAGGGAGAGGAGAAGGGAGGGAGAAAGATTGCTGTGCAAGAGAAACATCAGTTGGCCGCCTCTGGCACCCCCCCACTGGGGACCCAGCCTGCAAGCCAGGCATGTGCCCCGACTGGCACCCTTTCAGGTCACAGGTCTGTGCTCAGTCCACTGCGCCACACCAGCCAGGGCTTCTTCCGTTTACTTCTCTCCAAATTGTGTCAGCTCATGTTTTATTTCCCTTTGTCTTTAAATTGCTGATTTAAGGTCTTCCTTAATAGACTTGTTTTACTGAGTTTTTAAGATATTTGAACCTTTTTTATTAACTCACGGAGTACTTGGAGGGTCTTTCTAATTTGTAAACATGTCCTTTATTTCTTGGAAATTTTCTTATTTCGTTTGATTAATTCCTATATTTTTTTTGTTCCATTCTGACTTTTAAAAACTTACTATTTCTTATCCATATTTGTCTTTTAGTTATTTTGGGAGATATTTTTTTACTTTCAACCCTTCTTTTGATTTTTTTCTATCTTGTTTTTAGTTTCTAAGACCTCTTTTTGCTATTTGTTTCTACTTTTATTTACTAACTAGAACTTTTTTAAATGGCATTTCTTTTCTCCAAGGCTCAAAATATTTTTATTTCTGTGAAGATACAGGTTTCTTTTTTATTTTTAACATGTTTTCTTCACACCACATTGGTCCTATTTCCTCTCTTTCTTTGGCTCATATTTTTGGAGCTTTCCTTTGTCCCAGACTTGTGAAGCAGCAGAAAAATATGATTGTAAGGTTGTTGTATGTGAGTGAAGTTTGTGCACTGGTAGGAGTTGCCACTGAATAAACCAGGTGGAAAGCTGTCTTGTCACTGTAAGGTCTAGATGTCAGTATATTGTCTCTGGAGCCGACCACAATTCCTGTAGAAAAGAATCTTCTGGTCTCCTCCTGTGGGACCAGCCTGGTTTCTGTGACCTGGATCCTGGCATTCTGGAAGCAGAAGAGGATCCCACAAATCATGTTCGCCTTTAACCCCGATTAGTATTCCTGATTCCGATGTCTTTCTGGTTTATATTCATCAAACAATACATTGTTATATCTTGAAGGGTGAGGATAGCATTAGGCAGCAGGATGTCTGATTGGTTTGTGGAGTTAGAACCTGCCTCTTTCTGTCATTCTGTCTTGTGCCTCCAGGCATGGAACCTTTCTGAGCTTCTTTTGGTCAGTCGTCTCACGTCTCCACACTCCCCTTCTGTGAGCGTCCAGGTTGTCTGTTCTTCCCCTCTCCCTTATGGGTTACAACTCATGCAAATGCTTTAAATATTTCAGAAGTGTGTCTTTATTACTTAAAGAAATAATCTCATTTATTTCTTATGTTCTCTTTTGTCCTTCCAGATTTGTGTCACATTCTTTCTCTGTTTTTAGGAGTTAAAGGAAATGATGTTGGTGGCCAATTTACCATGTTTAACTGAAACTCAGAAAGATGGTTCTTTGAAAAGACTGATGAAATTGATGTTTGATGGATATGATTAAGGAAAAAATTAGAAAGTGCAGATACACACTGACAATGTGAAAGGAGATATAATAAAAATATACAAGAGGATATTAGATATTAGCCCCATGCCAAAGTTGAGGGTTTCATCCCCAGTCAGGGCACATATAAGAATCAACCAGTGAATGCATAAATAAGTAGAAGAACAAATTGATGTCTCTCTTTCTCTCTCCCTAACCCCTCTTCCTTCCTTTCTCTCTAAAATCAATAAACAAAAATAAGGGAATATTAACTGTGACTTTATGATAATCAGTTTGAAAATCCTATAGCAAGAGTTGACAAGCTACATCCTGCAAGCCAAATCTGACCCAACACCTGTTCTGATAAATAAAGTTTTATTGGAACACAGCTGTGCTCACTGGTTTACATATTGCCTAAGGCTCTTCTGCACTACAGTGGCAGAGTTGAGCAGTTGTGACAGAGTCATTATGGTCCACAGAGCCTAAAATACTTACTATATAGCCTCTTACAGAAAGAGTTTGCTGTTTTCTGCTCTAGAAGAAATTATTTCCTAGAGAAAAAGAGACTACAATTGATCCCGAAAGTGCTGTACTAGATACGTAACCATATAAGAGATTGGAAAGGTTATTAATTATCTTAAGAAGGCTCCAAACAGAGAGCTGAGTTATGAGTTCACTAATCTTTGAAGGACAGGTGATTTCCTTGGTCTTTAGATTATTTCACACTATGGAAAAAGATGGAAAAGTCTTCCAAATGACATTATTAAACTATTTATGTAGTCACCTTTTAAAGAAACCTTGCACTTGGGGGTTGTTGTTACTGCAGTTTTTAAAATGGTTTGTATTGTCAATGCAGTGAGAACTGACTGTGGTACCATAGCTTCTAATGACCAAACACACTGCTGTCTCAATGAGGGGAGCAGCGTTTGTCTGACAGGGTTAATTGATCCCCTTGACCACACAGTTCCCCACTCAGTGTCATCTTTATACTATTTGTGGACATTTACATTAGCCCCATTCCTGTGTTGTAGAGCTACCCTCATTGTTACAAAATGGACCCACGGGGTGGGGACAAGATACTGTTACTGAATGGACCCTCCCTTCTCCTCGGGTCCCCCTACTAGGTTCTAGGTACTAGGTTCGCCTTGCCTGTCACCAGAGAATATGGCTCTCAATGTCAGGGTTTGGTGAAAAGGAAAGGAACTATTTATTCAGAAGTTATACAGACTTAAAGTAATAATTTAATGTCTTCATTAAAATTTCAAAGTCCCTTAAAACACCCACAGTCCTTCCTTCCCCCCTTTGCCCAGTCCAGGGTACCAGATCTCAGGAAAAGAAATAGAAGACTGTGGTCCTCGGTCCTTCCCAGTAATCCGTGCTCACCTGTCAGGCTTCTCGCAGTTCCCAGCACCATCAGCTGTGTTGCCACCATGATCTCCAGTTCTTAAATCTAAAACCACGTGGCACCTTCTGATGCTCACCAGCAAGAGTCCTTTCACCCCTTTCCTTCCCTGCAAGGTGTCTCCTGCATTCTTCTGAACAGCTAAGAGAGAGCTCTGCATGGTTGCTACGTCTTGCTTTCCTGCTTCCTAAGCCATGTGGTAAAGGTTCCCCCAAAACCACCTGGTTCTAACCCACATATCTGCTGCACCTGGGTATAAATTCTGGTGTGAATCTTCCTCTGCATCCTCATTTCCGAATCCTCCCACAATCAGCTATACCTGCCAGTATTCCCATGTTTTTACAGCTTTTCTGGGCTGCCACTATAAGTGACGGGCAGGCATGGCCCCTTGGCGTGGAGCAAATCAGGTCCAAGCTCTCACACAGGCACTATAACCAGAGTGAGCTGCCTCCCAGTTACCTCATGGATCAAAGTCACTCCCAAGTCCCTGGCTCAAAACATGGCCACAGCTACTTTAACATATCTATGAGACTAGCCAAAAGTTATAGATATGTTAAATAACCATTTTTGCAGTTACTTGTGAAACTTTTGATATGCAAAGTAACTCTCAATGGCTCTGCTCCATGCATCCCATCACCCAGTTCAGACTTGTGGGGGTGAGGATATCCTATATTTTTAATATTTGCTGGACACCCTGAATTCTGGACCCCATTACAGATCCCTCTTGGGGGGGCATGGCTGCACCCTGTTATATCATTACTAAGAAAACTTGAGAGAGAGAGAGCGAGAGAATATTTGTGCACATACATGCATATACACCTCTTAATCTTAGCCTGCCAGGCCTACAAGGACAAATACAGTCTTTTCATATCTGTTCATCAAAACAGTATTTAAAACTAGTTGTTTTGGAATCATCAGAAAAATATTACTTGTAATATTACTGTAACAGATTGTACTAATCTAATTGTAGTGTTGCTGTACTTTCAGATACTTCTCTGTTACTTTGTGAGCAGTAACACTTCCCACTAGGAGACTATAGATAACACGATGGTGTTACATTGTCCTTTTTATAGCAAGTCTAATATCCATAGTTGTGTCCAGTTGGCAAAATGGTCACCTGAGTTTAGGGATTCCTGAGTCAGGCTTGGTGATTTGTGAGGACTCGATTCAGAAAAGCTGTCACACTCATGGTTACAGCATATTTCAGAGGAGATTGAAACCACTGGAAAAAGGTATCTAGGGAAGGGTCCAGGAGACTCTAGCACAAGCTTTCAGTTGTCCCCTTGCAGTGGAGTCATGTGGGCAGTGCTTAATTTTCCCCAAAACAATGTGTGGCAGCACTCAAGGAGTGTTGCCAACCAGGGAAGCCCACTGGAGGCCTGGTATCCAGGGTTTTATTGGGGATCGGTCTTGCAGGTATGGCTGACCACTGCGTGGCTGACCTTAGTGTCTAGTGCTGCCAGAGGTCAAACTGATACCATGTACTTAAGGCCTCTACCATAGGTCACATCATTAGCACAAACTGTGTTTGGGGCAGTCTTCAGGTACACAAACACACTCTTAAGAGGCAGGGTGTTCCATGAGATCAGAGAGTACCTCTCATGTGCCAGGCAAGAGCCAAACCTTTCTCTGAAATAGACATGGTTTGGACATGCCAGACCTGTTGAGTTAGTTCTTCACAGCACATCACCATGTATCAAATTCCTCACACATGTGTACTTTCTCTACCAACAAAGTCTTAAGAGACACACTTAATCCATTTTAGCCCATTCAACAGTGTAAGTCTCCCATTATCCGTTGTGTGAATGATAGAAAAAATTCTCTCGGAAAGGTCATATTCAAGTCACATTTGGATTAGATCAAATGTAATTTCCATCAGACATTTACCTTTAGGCTTTAGAGGGTAAGCTTGAATTGCATCACTTCTCTTGCTCTGAGATGTTTGGCCCCTAAATCCTTGTTGCCCTGTGCATGGAAAATTGAGTAATAGACACGTGGTGTCAGAATCTTTCTGTGGACCAAATCCATCTGATGAGAGGGCACAAATTAGGCTAGATATGGATATGGTCAAGGGCCAGAATTTCATTATCTGGGAATGTTGGACTATAACCTAAAGAGTTTGATCTTTGTGAGGATTTTGGCTCAAAAAGCATGCAACACCTAACATTAAAAAAAAATCTTTAGCAGTGGTTGGAGGGAAAAAAAAAGAAAATTGCCCCCTAAACTATAAGTACATTTTTAGTCTTGTTCTAAGTAAAATGTGAGTCACATATCTGTATACTTTTGAAGTTTGCTCTTTCCACTCTATGTTGTGTCTGGGCAGCAGTGTTTTGGTAGAAGAATGTAGGACCTTATTTTTAGGCACAAAGTTCGTTCTCCTTGCAGGGATGGGGTGGGGTAGGAGTGGCAGATTAGTATTTTCTGTTTGAAAGTGGTTAGTGTTTCATATTATTTCTTTATTCTGGCACCACCCAAGGGCTGCTCATGCCAAGGTATTACTTTGTAATCTCAACCTGAGAGCATGTCCTCCATGCATTTGGTGCCCAGGCTTGGGGACAATCTCTGAGCAAGCTGGGTGCTCTTGGGGATGAGTTGAGGGCAGCAGATACTGGACTCCAAACTCTGTAGATCTGAGTATCCCGCTAAGCCAGTGTGCTTGAGGATTGTGTCAAAGGTAGCTATGGCTTCATTTTACGGGAGAGTGGCAGCCACTTTACAAAGTTGTTTTTCAGTAATGGACCTGTACTAAGCAGTGCTAACTTTAGTCCTTGTTTTATTAAACAACTCCTTTGTCCCTCTCGCTCACAGAGCTCTCTGGCCGAGACGTTGGATAGCACCGGCAGTCTAGATCCCCAGAGATCGGACATGATTTACACCATAGAGGACGTTCCTCCCTGGTACCTGTGCATATTTTTGGGGCTGCAGGTAAGATGATTCCTTTAGGATGTAACCACCAGCAGATGCTCAAATTCTCTGGATGTTTTTTAAATTCAATTTTGATTTTTATTTATTAATGACTTTATTATAAATTACTCTTTTAAGAATGATGAATAGAAATTGTCAACATCAGTTTTATAATAATGAAAGGAAGAAATGAACAGGCTTAGTAAGGTAACCGAGGAATGAAAGAAGGAAAATGTTCATGGAATAAGCAAAAGAAAGGACATGGAAGGAAGGACAGAAGATTGTAGAGCTATAGAAAGAAGGAAGAGTAGAGGGAGGAGAAAAGTAGAGGAATGGAGAAAGGAAGAACTAGTTTTCATCTCCCATTCCTGGCTTGGTTAACCAATCTATAATCATGGTCAACTCTGTCATGAAATACAGGTAACACTGAGACATGCTGCATTGGCCAAGACATAAATGTCTTCTTTTTAAAGGAAGACAAACTTTGCTGTAGTGGTAGTGGCTTTGTCTGCTGCAGCTTCTAGTAGGAGCAGGGCGGGGAAGCTGCCAGGGTAGGGGAGTGGGGCTGGGCTGGGGGACTGGGTGGGAAGTCACACAAGGTGACAAGCCTCTACAGGGCTCCTGCATCTCTGGCACTTCCCCTTCGTCTCTCAACACCCTTTTCCCACTAAATGATTGAAGTGCGGCTTTAGGGGAAAGGGGACGGGACAGGAAGCTCTCTTCCAGGACCCACATTGCTGGCCTGTGTTTTTCTTGGTTATTTTAGCCTGGACTCTGTTCCCGGGTCTGACTTTCCATCCTTCCTTTTTCAAGTTTGAAGGATCACTTCAGTCCTGGGGCATTTCACATGCTGAGAAAGTCCATCTCATTGCCCAGACAAGTTTATTCACTTGGAGGAGAGACTGTACCTGCCCTGACAGCTGATAGTTTGGTCCAGGTTTCCAGCATTCCCCCTCGCCTCTGCCCCACCGACCCCCTTTAGGTATCACAGTGCCCCACTGACCCCCTTTAGGTAACCTGGACTGAAAGGTGTCTAATCAAGGAGGAGTCCTGACCAAAGGAACTAGCAGATAATTTTCCTTGGGTTGAATGTTCCAAAACAGATTCAGGAAGCCTGCTTTTTGAAATGTTTATGTTTTAGGTGTTTCTAGAAGAAGTCTTCTCTGGTCAAACGGGATTGGGAAACCCTGCACACATTAGGCCCTTCTTGACAGTACAGTGTTCTTAGAAAGCTTGGAGCTGCCCTGAGAAGTCCTGGATGGCAGTGGTTCTGTTTCCTGCACAAAACACCTATTAGCGTTGTAAAAGTTGGGTTTTATGGGCTGCAAGCAACACATTTTGGCAAACGGGCAAAGATGGGGAACTGTTGGGAAGAAAATTAGGGTTTGCAGAACAGAAGTAGGTGCCGGACAAGCAGGCTGCTGGGAGGAAGGGTAGTGAACAGTGGCTACCGGGAATGTCCTACTAGGGCCACAAGGAACGGAGGTGGGGCCCGCAAGCGGGGAGTGGGATGGGCTTTTTCTGGAGGGTTCCCACAATTCCTGTATGCCCTTAATCCCTGATTGTTGCCAAAAAAATGCCAGCCTGTAGAAGATGATGGAAAACACCCTGCTCGATGAAAGCTTGTGTAACTTTAATCCACAGACCTGAGAGAATTTTTTTAAAAAGTTGACTGTCCCTGGCCCGGTGGCTCAGTCGGATAGAGCATTGTCCCCATACTCCAAGGTTGCAGGTCTGACCCCCATTCAGGGCACAAACAAGAGTCAACCAATGAATGCATAAATAAGTACATTCAGGTTGCACTTCTTTATGCATTCATTGTATAACATAACAGGTTGATGTTTCTCTCTCTCAAAATCAATTTGAAAAAGAATACAGGTGTAAAATTTTACATAAAATATTGGCAAATCAAGTTGCAGAAGAGAAAGATATAGCAAGACTAGAGTGTGTTTCAAGAATGGTTCAGCACAAGATAATTCATCTTAACAGATCAGGTGAGAAAGACCTATAATTTTAGCGTTTGATGCTGAAAAGGAGCAGTGTAGGTAATGGAGTAGCCAAAGAACTTACATGTATGACCCGTGGATGTGAACTAATGGGGGACTGCCAGAGGGAATGGGGGTACCTGGTGGAGGGGGAAAATTGGGACAATGGTAATAGCATAATCAATAAAATATATTTAAAAAAGTGGATAATCCCAGTAAAAATTGTATAAGTAAAATATCACCAGTGCTTGTATTAAGTACTTCTTTATGCTGGCCTACATTCATGTGAGTAATAAATAATAATACAGGTGAGTAATAAGACAAGGAAATGTAATGGAAAGGAGAAATGCTGAAAAGGAAATATGATTTGGTATATGATACAAGTGCATACTTTAAAAAAAAGAGTTTTTTGTCATGTGGGCTATTTTTTTAAAACAATGGAAGGAGTGAGTTAGGATGAAATCAGTGCAAAAAAACGAGGAAGGTTAACTCTTTCCCCTTCTGGTTTCCTGTCACCCACAGCACTATCTGACTTGCTTCAGTGGTACGATCGCGGTGCCCTTCCTGCTGGCTGATGCCATGTGTGTGGGGTATGACCAGTGGGCCACCAGCCAGCTCATTGGGACCATTTTCTTCTGTGTGGGAATCACAACTTTGCTGCAGACAACGTTTGGATGCAGGTGAGACTGGGGTACTAAGTTTGGATGCTGAAGCCCTGTGTGAGGAAGGCATTGAACAACACCATGTACCTAGGGCTACTTGGTAGGATGGGTGGGCTGGGGGTGGGGCAGGGGACTGTTCTAGTGAGCCTTGACCCCACCCAACCCCCACCAAGTTTCTTCTCTTGGCAGATGGCACCATCTCCCACCCAGTTGTGCAAGCTGGAAAGTCTGACTCTTAGCTTCTTCCATCCCACCAGCCATAGGGCAGGCTCTCTCTCCAGTACCCTCTCCTGCCCACATTCCTTTAGTTCAGACCTGGACTGTCCCAGGAGGTTCCTAGTTGGTTTCCTTGCCTCCAGGGCTACTCTCCTTGCCTCATTCTGTACCTGCTCCCAGTGCTGTTTTTCCAACATCAGCATCTTCCTTGAAGCTGCCAGACTGCAGCCCCACTCCCTGTTTAAAACCAGATTTTAAAACCACTTTTTAAGCTTCTCCCTTGCTATCTGTCCCACTGCCCTTCCAGCCATGCCTCTGAACCCTGCTGTCCCCTTCCCTGCGCTCACCCTGGGCTGAGCTCCTGCCTGAGCAGCCCTGCTGTTTCTCACTCCTGTGCTTGCACTCCCCAGCAACCCTGTAAACCCTGCTCATCCCCAGCCTGCCTTGTCCCTCCCTCTCTGTGAAGCATCTCTGACTCTTCGAAGCTGCCTTTGTTCTCTCTGAATTCCCACACATGCATCTTGTGTACGTTCTCCTAATGTGGCTCTTATTCCATGGTGTCCTTTTTTTGGTATTTGTGTCCTTTCTCACTGGATCGTGTTCCCCTCCTTGATGCCAGGGCTCTGGCTTTACATCCCAGCTTCCAGCTTAAGTGGATGAGGAGCTGGCAGAGGGAAGAGAGCCTGTGTTTCCTGCCTCCTCCTGCAGGCTTGCTTTGTTTTCTCCTGTCCCCTCTTCCGCCCTCTTCATACTGCAGCTTTTTCCTCCACCCCAGGGCTCTGCTGACAGGCCCTCAGGGGAAGGACAGCTGAGTAAGCTTACGAGTTCTAGTTCTGATCAGATTGCTTCTTGAGAGATAATCCGGAAGGGCTTTGCCCCCTGCCTGCTCAGGGAACAAAAGGAGATAGTGCAGAGGTGGCTTGGGAGTCATAGACTGTATTTCGATGATTCAGAGTCCTCAGGGACCTAGAGAGGACTGTTCGTATGGGGAGGAGTGGAGGAGGGACAGGAGACTGGGGCAAACCGTGAGCAGTGTTAGGGCATCCTGGTTGGCGGCACAGGCAGCGCCCTGGGAAGGGGAGTGGCGGCTCCCTTGCAGATCTGCTGATGGAAGGAAGCAGCTGTGCGGACTGAAGGCTGAGGGAAGGGCCAGGGGTGCCACTGGCCTGCTAGAGGGAGATGTGTTCCTGGCACTCCAGGGAGGACTTGATTCATTTTCTTAGCTCCAGGTAGTTAAATTTGACTGGTAGCATCTCTCATTCTTTTGATACAGCATTTGAGGTTCTGTATTTCAAGTCTAAAGTGGACTAAAAAGCTTTTGCTGGCTGGCTCATGAGACTTACCATGTACGTAGGGCACTGGTTCTCTGTGGAAGAGTCCCGTCCCCCCCACCAAATAGCTGACTCATCAAGGACCTTGTAGCACAAACTATTTGTGATTTTGGGCAGTGCCTATAGTTGAGAATTGTTGGTTGATATGCAGATTCTTTATTGTGGTAAAATGTACACTGTGTGCAGCTGTGCCCTGGTCCCATGCCAAGGTCAACTGTAGTCAGCCACATTACCAGTGCTGATTAAATCAGTTGTATATTTTAATGATAAACTGTAATCTCATGGACAGTCAGAATCTGCATTTCTCAGTGTAAAGCAATAGCTTACAAAATATGGCAAATGAAGATTTCTTCTTCATGCATGGGGAGTGGAACAAGCAAGCATGAGAACTTGGAAGGACCTTGGATAGATGACCTCTTCAGCTGTGTCTCTTTTTTGTGAAAATGAGAGGAGTCTCCTCCTGATGGATCTATCCTGTGGATGACATTTTGCCGTTATTTTAATGGGCCTATTGTGTTTTCATGGATTATTATAAACTTCTTAAAGTACGTTTAGAAAGTTACAGTGCACGAATAATATGAAAAGCCTTTTAGTTTTGCTAAACATTCACACAGACCCTCATCATAGGCTATGAATGATCATTTTAACAGACATGCATGTTTACTTCCTGGTCACAACAGGATCAAATAAATAGATGAGGCCATTGGGGCAGAGGGATTGTCAGGGTGGGACAGTGCAGGAAGGAAGTGCTGATGTGGCCAAGAGTGTTTGTTTTATGGGTTGGGGGGCAGTTCAGCACTTAGGCTTAGAGCAAAAGAAGAAAAAGTTTTTTCTGTTGAGCTCTCATGGTTTCCAAGATGGATTTTCAGACTTTTCCAACTCTGGGTAGCTTATAGAATTGTGTGTGAGTTCTGTCTGCCATTTTGCGTATTTGCTAGCCACCTGCTGATTACTTTATACTCCATTGCACTGGATGCAGCTAGTGCCTAGGACCTAAAAGACCAGCTGTGCTCTGTGCTTGTGAGGAGGGGTCATTTTATTTTGCGGAAGCTGAGACAGCTGCAGGACTAGCTCAAAGGAAGAAAATGTAAGCATCCTGACCTGTGGGCAGTGGCCAGGCCATCCCCCATCCTCATTTCACATGGGCGCCCTGCTGAAGAGGGCACACCGTTCCTGGACACCTGTGTAATTCCATAAAAATAATCGAAATTGATAGGGAAACAGTGAAGGGGTCGTATGTCTCTGCAGACCTGAGCACGAACTCGCACTGCAAGCTGTGAGATGTCACCATATGACAACCACTGCTTTGGAGGTACATTTCCCACGGGCTGGGCTGAGGCCACACAAAGTGTGTCTGGTGCAGCGTGGGTCGCAGACCCTCCCTCCTTCACTGCCCATGTCCCCCCGCACAACAGTGGTTCCTTCCCTCTGCACACTGTGGCTGTTTTGAAATGGAGGTTGTGGGTCCCAGCCCCAGTTGTGTGACTCCTGTGGCTTTAGTGCTTCCCAGAGCTTCTGTCTGCAGGGCGGTGGGCGATCTGTGCCTCGCCTGCTTCTTTCCCCTTCCACTCCCTCCTTTCCCTTTCCTTCTTTCCTTTGACCTTGATCTCTTGTGCTTTGCTCTCAGCTATGCCTTCACTGAGTTTCCTTGAGTGAGGAGTGAACATTCCTGATTCTGTTTGATTTGTGATGTCAGTCCCAGCCACCCCTGGGACTTGTTCCTTAGTACAAAGTCTTGAAAATCCCAAGAGTTCAGGGCAGGGGTGTTAGCCAGCTTGCTGCACTCTCCGCCTCCCTGGCTGTGGTGAGGACTCAGCCACTGCTTCACCTTGGCTGCCTCTGCCTTTCCCGACAGAGCAGCTCCTAGTTTCCCTGTGCTCTCCACCCCACCCTACCAACCTTGGGTATCAGTGCAGAGCTGGGGATGAAAGGGGGCCCTCTGGCACCCTGCAGCTTGTCTGCCACGCCAACCTCCCTGGCCTTCCCCGAGGTGTGGCAGGCTCTGTGTTTGGGGGTCATCTCCAGCCTTTCGCTTCAGGTGCCTCTTGAAGGCATCACTCTGAGCTCTCCAGCAAAAGAAAAGACTGTGGGTGGGGTGGCCCATCCCAGAGGAGCCTACCCTGGCCATCACAAGCCTGTTGCAGATGCATAGAACCTTCCTTTGCTGAGTATAGATGGGGTTTTGGCCAAAAGTGTCATTGTAGCTGGTGCTGTTGTCCACCCTGAGGAGACAGCTTTCCTGTCATCCATCTCCTTGGGTTCCAGGGGTCTGTACAAACTGTGTGCTCACTGAGTACAGGGATGACTGCGGGATACTTCAGTGTCTCAAGTGCAGGCTTTGAACTCTACTGCTGATAAAACTTAAAGGGATCAAGGGGTGCAGTGCTTAGAGTGAGGTGGGGATACGGGTTCCCCCCACATTCTCTTTCTGTATATGTAATTTGTGTGGAGTGTATGGGCATATTTTTGAATTGCTTGAAAGTAAAGTTGCAGACAGCATGCTGGTTCGCCCCTAAAAATCTTATACCAGTGACAATTTCCTGTGTAATCATTTTCAACAGCCATTCTGCCATATTATCTAACATGCAGTCCGTGTTTAATTTCCTAAGATGTCCTTAAAATGTCTTTTATGGCTCATCCCTCTATGTCCCTGAACCAGGATCTGATCAAGTTCATATGGTGCATTTGTTTGTTGCATCTCTCTGATCTCAGTAAACAGTCCCTACCTTTTCCCTCCACATCACCCCCTTCTAGAGAGTCCAGTTGTCTGTCAAGTATTCTGTGTTCAGAAGTGGTCTGATCGTGTCTTCATGGTGGTGTTTGATTTGTTCTACAACCCTTCCCCCCTTATTGGTCCTAAGGAGATAGGGATAGGGGAATGGTGATTCAGGGTGAAAATTTTGCAAAAATTACTACATAGATGACTTGACATACTGTCTGTCATGTTAAGTAGCAAGCTGTGGGTTTTTCCCACCAGATTAAAAAAATTACTGTTCACTTAACTCAGAATTTTAGATAGTACATGGTAGAGCAAAAGTAGGTTTGCAGTTATGAGTATGAGAAACACAGTTTACTCTGGCATTATTATTTATTAATTAGTGTATATTCCATATTAACAACTGTAAACCTACTTTTGCCCCACCCTGTATATTAAAGAAATGGGGACTAGTGGGAACCTGGAGGTAATGACCTTAGGGGAGTGAGGCAAAGCTTCCTCCTCCAACCTTCTGTGTGGTGGACGTGGAGAAGGCTTTGACCTTAGAGGTGGCTTTGTTGCCATCCCACCAGTTTCATGTGACTTTGGGCAAGCCACCTGGTCTTTCAAAGCCTCTTCTGGTTAATCCTGGGCACTAGTCTGCACTCGCCTTTGGGCACTCTTTATCTTAGTGGGCCTTCTGGAAGGGGAGCAGAGGAATTATAGTGGGCCGGGGCTGGGGCTGGGGCATCTGGCGAAGCAGCCTGACTTTGATGAGTGTGGAGGGTGGTTGGGTGTCCTCCATGGCCACACGGCCATTAGTTTGGCCACTTCAACTCCAGCTTTCTTGGGTGGTCTTTCCCTTTCTGTTGACACACTGTTTCTCTGTTAGTATTCTGATGCATCTGGGACTAGGAGACTGACTGAGTCCTCAGAGTACATGTTGGTTAATGAATTTAGTTCTTTACAGTCTTTTTTTTTTTTTCCTTTGACCATCACATCTCACCCTGCACATTCATTCCCACAGCTCTGAATGGCTCCTCCTTCTCTTGGCCTGCTGCCTCTCCCCTCTTAACCTTCCTTGTGAGCCAGGTGACTGTCATGGCAAAACCTGTGCATGGAGAGGCCTAGAGGACAGAGCTTCCCACCAACTACCAGGGGAAGCTCTTTGCCTTTCTAAATTTAGTGGGGTTTTTTAACTACTTAACATAACTCACTATTTAAGGAATGTGTTGTCCTCCTCCCATTTCCATTCCTGGAAAGACCCTTAACTTTGTAGATACAATTCAAATCATATCTATTGAGATACAATTGACAAACAATGAAATTTACCCCTTTCGCCATGTACAGTTATATGAGTTTTTACCCATGTGTTCAGCCATCTAAGCACAACCAATAGGACATTGCCACCCTCTATGGAACATCACCACACCCCAAGGAGTTCTCTTGGGCCTCTCCGACTGATTAGATCTTTAAGTAATAAAAGTATTTTAGCCTCCCAGCCCTTGACCTGAAATCAACTGATGTTGTCATATTGGAAAAGGAGTTCCAGAATCATACCCAGCCAGCACCCCCAGAGTTCCTGTGTGCTCTCTGGACAGAACCTGCCGCTGTGAGCTATGGCTCGGGAGGGGACAGGTGCTAGTGAGCTGCGTCCTTCCCACCCAAGTTTCCCCAGGGGTCTCTCTAGTTGAAAATGCTGACCACAATAGGTCATATAATTTTTAGAATTTATCTGTAAAACCAGAGTAACATGAACTTAAAGATAATGGTTACAACTTTATTTTAATTGAGTTTTCTTTGAATCAACTCAAAATGAATTATAGATCCAAATGCAAGAATCATGAAAATTGTGTAAATACAAGAATGAAATGAGTGAATTTCCTTTTTAATTAGAATGAGGTTTTAAACTTAAAAAGAAAATTCTATTTATTTATTTATGTACTTATTTATTTATAGAAGGGGAAGGGAAGGAGACAGAGCAGGAGAGTACATTGATCAGTTGCCTCTTGCACGCCCCCAACTGGGGGGCCAAACCTGCAGCCCAGGCATGTGCCCTCCCGGAATTGAACTAGCGACCTTTTGGTCTGCATGTGATACCCAACCCACTGAGCAAACTGTCAGGGTGGAATTTAAACTTTTAAACTAGGGCTGAAACTCCAGGAACAATTAAAGGGTGGTAAATTTAATGACATTAAGTATGAAAACATTTTTTAAACCTTGCAGTGTAAAAGTGCTCCATGAACAAACAACCATGACAGACTGGCTGGTTAGGTTGTTTGCTGCCCTGGGGTTAGAGGTGTCTGTGGGAGGGTGTCATGACAAAGGTGCTTATCTGCTCAGAATTTTTCTTACTAACACCTAGTGACACTATTAACTGTAAAAACTTTGTTTTGCAAAAATCCACCACCTCTTTACATATTTAAGATACACTTTATCATAGACAAAGCCAGCCAACTTTTTCTGTAAAGAGACAAGCAGTAAATGTTTTGGGCACTGTGGTCTCTGTTGTGACTGGCTGACTCTCCCATTACAGCTCAAAAGCAGCTGTCAGCACCTTGTAAATAGATGAGGGTGGCTCTGTCCCAGTAGATCTTTACTCGTAAAAACAGGTAATTTGCTGTACTTGGCTCACGGGCCCATTTGCCAACCCCTGGTGTAAAGAGGGCATAGTTTAATTTGTTTCCTTTCCAGTTGTTGGTACGAAATAAAAGAGCTGGCAGTCTTGTCTGCCTGGGGAGCCTGGGAACTGTGGTTTAGGTGCCAGTGTGAGTGAGGTGCAGAGAGAGGTGCCCTACTATTGACCTGCATGACTCTGGGGAAGTGCCTGAAAAAGCCACTTTATCAGATGAGAACATCAAGTGCTTTAGCATACTCAGTCTTTCTCTGGGAAAATTGGCTTTGTTGCTTGCGATTTAAGGAAGCTCTTGTTTAATGGAGTCACATGCTCTTGTTGCAAATTTCCCTAAGGATAATTCAGTGAAGCCTCTGAGTTATGCCGCTGGTAATGGAGGCCACAGGTAACTGCTGAGGTACTGACTGCTGCTTCTTGCAAAGTGGCCGCTTGTCTTTCAGACAGTACTGCTGGAAGCAGGCAGTGTGTGGCGGAACAGTGAGCAGTCGGGCCAGCATGTGCAGCTTTTTCCATATCACCTGGGGAGACTGGGGCAGCACAGGTGGTAATGTTCTGTTGTCATCGACTTTCAAAGGAGCCCGGGGTCCTGTTTGTTTGAAAATAAGTGAGCTGCTTTGCATCAGTGACCTCAGGGTCTCTGTTGGGGGTGAAGCCATAAAATTCTTGCCTTGAAAGGTGTCCAGGCAGTGGTTAAGTGCAGACTGAGGTTGAGTATAGCTCACGCCCCCAGGAGTAGAGCCCAGAGCCAGTCTTCACTGTCCCACATCCATTGTGTCCCCCGGACAGTGTTGTCCTTAGTGTTCCCAAGGACCAGCTCTCTAAGTGCAATCTGTGTTACATTGTCCTAGGATGCATTGCTTGAAATCTGAAACAGGAGCAAAACAGATGCTGTTTGGACCATTTGACAGGACATCCATTTCTAACTAGATGCTAATCTCCTTTTATCTTTTCTGTATATTCCTGAAAAATTATGCTTAAGGAATTTGTCTAAATCAAACAGTGGTTTCTCCTTTGATATTACTACATCAGGTGACCTTCACTTCCACTTTTGATGGTACTGTGCTCTGGGCCCCTCCGACAGATGATTACAAATGGATGGTTGGTGGAGGGCATGCCCATGTGACCAGCTGCCAGCCATGCATCTGGTCTGTACTGTGCAGCCTGCAACTGTGTCTGAAAGCCATCAGCTTGCCTACTCTCATTTGGTTTCATTGCATGATTAAAATGGCCAAGAAAACAAGGACTCTCAACCCTTATCTGGCTCAGAATGGTGTGTGTCAACTCTGCACTTCTACAGCAGCTGGGTGTCCTTCAGCCAGAGCCTCTCTGTTTTTCAGCCCAGTTACTGTTGCAGTCAGGGCAGGATGTGCCATCAGTTTGGGGAAGGCGTGCTGCGTTCCCATTCCACTGTCCCGGACACCCCTGCAAGGCTGCTTCATGGTATTTGAGAAGGATCTGGACATCTGGGAGTTCCCAGCCCTGCCAACAGGAGCCAATTTTATATTTTACCTTGAAAGTATATTAAAAATAGGGATCAAATTCTCATGTTAGCCCTTAAAGCCATCTTAATGCAACCGTAGCTAAAATGTTTTACATTTCTCTATAAAATGACATCTTTTGAATTTGAGTAGCCTAAGTGTTCATGAAGATAATATGAAGAAGTATCTAAAATGTAATTGAATGATAGCATCTGAGTATCTCTGCACATAGTTGGAGGATGTGGGCAGGAGATTTTTTGGAGAGTCTGCAAGTTTTCTGGGTCCTTTAAAAGTAAGGTTGAGAATACTTGAGTCTTTATGATTAAGGAAAATATTTTATCTACTGTTGATTTATAACTTACAGCTTTCCTTTTCCTCAATAGATCTAGATACTAACATGATTTTAATGCTTATCATCTGTGATTTAAGGCAGTTTTTTACTTATAAAATGGGACAACAGAGGAAGATAAATTTTTTCCTATGATATCTGATAAGAATTTGAAAGGGAGGAAGAGAAGGTGGGTGGTGAAGTAGAAGATATACACTGATGTTTACTGCGGAACTTATAAGCTCAGCAGGAAAGGGAGACTCCCAAATGCCCAATATCCCCACCCCTGAGGGGAAAGGTCTAGTTGGCAGGGACCCATATTGGTGTGCTGGTGCTAATTATAGGGCTACCCCAGGGCCCATCCTGAGGCCGTCTGGGGGAAAAGCAGCAGGAGGGGAGGATGGAGAAGCCAGAGGTCCCGGCTGCGTGGCAGAGGAGATCTTTGCAGACCGGGGTTCTTTCTCCCAGCTGTGCCTACATTTACTCATATGCTGTTTGTCTGTGGAAAGACTGTTAAGCTGTCAAATAGTGAACTACCTCGGTAGTTCCTGATGCCGTGATCATGGTTTTGGTCTCGTTTCTTTTAGGTTACCCCTGTTTCAGGCCAGTGCTTTTGCATTTCTGGCCCCTGCTCGAGCCATCCTGTCTTTAGATAAATGGAAATGTAACACCACAGGTAATTGCAGTTATTTCCACATATGTCATGGGGGTCCTTTAATGCAGGCGATAAAAGGGAGGCCTGGACATGCTGCCCTGGGCAACGTTAAATCCTTTCTGGAATCAGGCACAGAACACACAAACCAACAAACAACTCAGAACTCTCCAATCTGTTGGTCGGGTTTCTGTCTCTCTCTATCCACCTGTTCATCCCTAACTCCAGAGCAAGTAAGGACCAGAAGGGACCGCATTTCTCTATGCCAATGAAATTGAAAGTATGGGAACGAAGAGAACAATATTTGTGCTATTTTTCTGCCTCTTTCTTTCAGTGTATTTTATGAACCACCAGTAATCACACTCTTTGCTGCGTCAGCATACCTTCTCTGAAACATCTCTGCTTTTTAAGGATCTGGCTGCTTTGGTTTTCCTGCAAATGACTTTTATCCCCCTCCCCTCCTTAATGATTATAAAGATCCTTAAGTAATCCGATAAGGTCAGGGAAAGATAAAATATGGGATTTGAGGAAACCAGACCTGTAGTATTCTCAAAATTCTGTTCCATTTTTAGGTTCTAGGAGCAAAGTTTTCCAGCTTTCATTTCCTTCCTTGCTCCTAGGAGTTACTTTGTGACCACTGATTGAATCTGGGACTGGGGAAGGCCCTCTGTTTTATCTAGGTTTTTAAGACCGTATGCAACCTTGCTATTGGGCATTTCAGTCAGTTGCTTGCAAGGGTTGGTCTTTGTGTGAGGCTGGCACCAGCCATGTGCATCACCAGTTCAGTCAGCTTTTGACAAGCTGGGAGCTCTCAGTCAATGGATACATTTGGTTAAATTAGCATTGGGGGATCCACCTTTCAGTATGGTAAGCCATACTGTTGACATTTATACAAATATGCTTAAAACAGGGAGGAAATTCTTTTTAAAAAGTGAAATGAATGTGTCCTGTGAAACATCATTGTCACTCCAAGAAAATTTTTGTCTTTGTTTTTGTTTTCAAGATGTTTCAGTTGCCAACGGAACGACGGAACTGTTACACACAGAGCACATCTGGTATCCCCGGATACGCGAGGTAAAAGATGAGCTTGCCTGCTCCTGCCTTCTTTGTATTTCCTCTCATCCTCAGTGTTGGCTTGCCCAGGAAATGTAGTTGCTTGCACCAAGCTCTCCTTTTCTTTTCAGCTACTATGTTTATTTCTGTCTTTAAACATGCCATTCAATCTAGAGGACATCATTGTAAAATAAGGCATGCAGAAATGCATTACGCAGCCAGACAGTATGGTTTCTCACTCTTTTTTTAAACTCTATTTTTATTGGTGACACTGTTATAGATGCCACCCTTTTCCCCCTCTGCCCACTTCCACCCAGCCCCCTCCCTGTGTATCTCACTCTTCGTTTCACTCCTTCTCCCCTCTGGTGCACCCGCAGACCTGCACACTTGACTCCTCGGGTGTAACCAGCCGAGGGGTAGGGCTCCTTTGGAAGGAGCTACAGAGGTTTGTCAACAGGCAGCAGAGCTATTTGTTCTAGGCTAAGTGTTTGCCTGCATTTGTGAAAAGAATTAAAGGATAATTGTCTCTACAGTGCACTTGAACAGGACACGTCAGGGGAATCCTTAGACATGAACAATGGCTGAGAGTTTATCTAGATAAACTTAAAACCTGTAAGATACTCCTCATTAGTTCAGAATCAGTCCAACCATTTTGTACAATAGAAACATTCCTTTAGAATTTTTGTCAATAACACTTTTTTAAATGTCCTTCAGGGGCTCACTTTTTAAAGTCAAGAACTGCAGGGTTCCTTTGAGGCTGGTTTTGAATGTTGTGTGTCTTAAGAATTATGAATTACATCTGCCTCATTTATCAGTGGAAAAGGCAAATTGGCTTTGCATCAGACGCCCGTTTCCATAATATTCTTACATCTGTTAGGTTATACTTAAGCTTGCTAGGCCCCAGTCACCCCCGGGAATTTTCCAGCCATGCCGTGTCTATTAGAACTTGATGTGTTGCAGAATTATCAGTTATGGTTGTAGGTGGCATTAGAGTATGTGACATAGCAGCTTACTCTAATGTCTGTACCCTCTCTCATTCCAGATCCAGGGGGCCATCATCATGTCCTCACTGATAGAAGTGGTCATTGGCTTCCTGGGCCTGCCTGGCGCTCTGCTAAAATACATTGGCCCCCTGACCATTACCCCCACAGTGGCCCTCATTGGCCTGTCCGGTTTCCAGGCGGCGGGAGAGAGAGCTGGGAAGCACTGGGGCATCGCCATGCTGTAAGTGTTCTGAGACCACTCAGCTGTGGACAGTAAAAATCTCTCCTCTTCCCAACCAAGGGTCAACCCTTTAGAATGCACTCTGACTTTAGGAGATAAGTTTTCATTTTTCTTTCTTTTTTTTTTTTTTTTTGAATTCAGAATAGTCTGACCGTTTAAAATTTATTCACTTTGTGCCAGAAAATTATTGACAGGTTTTTTAGAGCCAGAGGTTGGAAAGTGACTTGGAGTCAGCGATGTGTAGAAGAAGGGTTGTAAGGTTTCTAACTTTGGGAGGGCGAAAGATGGTGATTCCATTAGCTCTCGACTTTTGAGGTCATGCCAGGTCTCCTATGCATGAACTGAAACACCTAGAAACTGAATCCTTTAGATGAGACTCAGAAATACATCCAGACTGGCAGGAGACAGATGCTGCAGGAGGCTCTTGGGGCAACGAAGGAGACATGGCTCCTCAGGCCAGGTGGAGCTCTGTGCACCTGTGAGGAGGCCCGAGTCGTGCTGGTCATTGCCGGTCCTTTTGCACAGAACTTTAAGCCCATTAAAAATGTCACTTTCCCTTGTAAGTAATGTTAGTAAAGACATCCATGGCTTTGATAATAGTATAAGATTGATTATTAATTAGAGCCACAGAATTCTGTACACCACAAATAGAACCCACTTTCTCTTGTGTGTCTATAGAGCATGTATAAGAGTTGACCGTATAATAGGAAAATAGTTCCAAGACTGGAACCTTAGTGTCAAGTTTTACCCGCTAGTAGAATTTCTAAAACAAGAGGGTTTCCAGTTGTTTTTGTATTGTTCTGTGAAATATTCTGCAGTTATTCCACTATAGGCGGCACTTACTGAGACTGTGCATCAGTGCTATACATAACAGTGTACATATTATAAATGAAGGTAGGTATCAGTGTTGTCCCCACTAACAAAGCCAAGGCACAAAGATGCAGTGAGCTGCCCAGGATCACACAGAAGTGGCTGGGATGGTTTTCAAAACCCAAATAGCCTGAGTAGAACTTAACCCATAACACTTAATCCTGCCTCTCTGTGTTAGAACATGGTATACCAATACAGTGAATCCCTGCGTAATTGTAACCCACATATCATTACAAATTAATGTATGTGAAAATATCTTGGATTGTTCTTAATTTTTTCATTTCATTGAAGGTTGGCCAATACACTCCACACCAGGTTTGGTGTGTATAAGGCATGTAAGAATGCTTATTCAGTGAAGTGCAACAAGTTCCAAAAGGGAGAAATTGTATTTACTATCGTACAGTTAATTTAGAAATCAATAACAAAAAGGTGAACAAAACCCCCCAAATGGCTTAGAATCTTTAAAAAAAAAGTTACAAGTATCTTGCCATCAGGATTATTTATAACATATTTATTGGAACTTTGGAATTGCTAGTAATTTTTTTTTTTATGAAAGAGAGGGGAAGGGAGGGAGAGAGAGGGAGAGAAACATCGATGTGTAAGAGAAACATCTATTTGTTGCCTCTTGCACACCCCTACCCACGAACTTGGCCTATAACCCAGGTGTGTGCCCAAACCAGTAACTGAACCAGGGACCTTTCGGTCAGTGGGACAATGCCCAAACCACTAAGCCACACCAGCCCAGGCAGAATTACCGATAATATAGAGAATGATGGTGGTAATGACACTGATCACATTTTACAGAGTAGTCAGAGTTGTTCTTGAGAAAAGAACCTTAAAGGCAAATAAAACACATGAACAGAGCTATCTTCAGAAACTAGAAAAACAGGATAAAAAATGAGCCCAGCGAATGTGCGGGGGGGAATTGATAAGGACACAAAAAATATGAAACAAAAAGAAGTGACAATTCTAAAAAGACAGGGAAGATCTTGTCCTGGCCAGGCAACTCAGTTGATCGGAATTTCATCCTTTACACCAAAAATGTTGTGTGTTCTATCCCAGGTCAAGGGCACATACGAAGGGCATTTATTTATAAAAAATTGTGTATTTATTCTTACATGTTTAAACTTCAGTCACCTGCAGAGTACTCTCCATTCAATGCAATACACCTATCAAGACGTTTTTTCCCACTGCTCACAATAGTTTTTGAACTCATTGATTTTGATGCCTTTTAGTGCTTCTGCCATTTTTTGTTTCACCTCTTCCACATTGGAAAAACATTTTTCTTTGAGGACTTCTTTTCTTTCATCCTGGGAAACAAGAGTTGCACGAGGCAAGATTGGGTGAATAAGGAGGGTGGGGCACAGGGGTCATGCCATTTTTGGACAAAAACTGCTGACCATTCAGCACGGTGTGGACAGGTGCCCTGTAAATCACCCATCATGAAATGGGCAAACATGTTGAAAGAGTCTTCAAAAAAAATTCGTTGAAGCTGAACACAGCCTCTTACAACAACACCAGCTGGTACACTGATACAGATGGGTTCCTAGAACACTCAGCTAGCGGAGGAGCCTGTACTACAATGGGTCTGCTTTCTAGAAGACAATTCCACTTTTGTGGGGGAGGTCCCCACTTTGTACCTAGGTTGCTGATTTGATCCCCAGTTAGGGTGCTCATGCCCTTCCCCTCTCTCTAAGATTCAATACACATGCTCGGGTGAGGATTAAAAAAAAAACAAACAAATGGGAAGATCTTAAAGCAGATAATGAAAAGAGAGAGATTGATAGATTTTACTTCCGATGCACTTAAAATTCATATCAAACAACCACTGAAATTAAATTATGAATGAATCTGGGAAAAGATTTATAAAAAATTCTACGAGAAAGGCTAATGTCTCCAATTCATAGTATTTCATTAATTAGAGAGTCCCAGCGGAGTAATGGCTGAAGGATATATGAGTAGTCGTATAATAAGGAAAATAAATACAAATAGCCAATTAATGTTTTTGAAGGGTTACCCTCCCACCCAGTTATCAAAGTGCACATTAATGGGGATTCCCTTCACAGTGGGGGCAGTGGGGGCAGGTCAGGCTGTACAGCACGGCTCCCTCAGCCACTACAATAGAAGCAGCGTCCAGAGACGTGTTCTTAGGGGAGGGTGAATGTGCCGACATTCTTAACACCATGCTTAGGTCCTTTATGGGAACTGTGTTTCTCTTGAGAAAATTTTGTGTTTACTTTTCTTAGGAATCGTTTTAAACCTATGCAAAAGTAGAAAGAATAGTGTTAAGCCCTCCTGTACCATCCCCAAACACTCAAGAGAAATCTCATTTTATCTATATCCCTGAAAACATTTGAATTCTAACCATTTGAAGTTTAACAGCAATCAAACAGGGAATAAGGTACAATAATCCCCATCCTCAAAAAAAATCTCATGATTAGTAAAAATTTAATATTCTTTCATATTTTTGTTGTTTATGCATAAATACAAACATGTACATATACAGTTTTACCATTATATTATTTTACAATTTGATTTTCATCCCAACATTTATTATTGGGATGAAAATCAAGACACTATGTTTAGATCTATTTCAAACTTTGTAAAATTATACAATGTTAAATAGTATGAAATAATCTATAATTTATTAAACCCTTCTCCAGTTGATATTCATGAATGTTGTTTAAAATATTTACTGTTGCAAGCAATGCTGCACTAAGTAATTCATATGTAAACAATGAATGTTAAAATAAATGATGATAGTTTTTAAAATTTATAAAATTGGCAGAGATTTAAAGGTATGATAAGACCCTATGTTACAGGGAGTAGCAAGTAAGTGTTCTTGGTCCCTGTACGTTTACCCAGCTTTTCTCTACATATTTGGCAGTTTGTTTCAGAAGCTTTTAGAGAAGTTATTTACTGTTTGACAGATCCATTATGGGCCTAGGAACTTACCATCAGGAGATACTCAGGCAGGTGCCGGGGACGAGCGGTACGTCAGTTTCTGTTGCTGCCAGGGCCGCACCAAATGGGAATTGTTAGGATGTGCTATGTCTGTGAGACGGAGTGCGGAGCAGCCACCGAGATGCCGGTGCCGAGCTCCATCTGTCCGCGTCATGGCATTAACAGGGGCTACAAGCTGGTTGGGAAGTGGCATGTAAAGCACAGTTACACTTTGAGTCAGATGAGGACCTATTTGTGCTCCGAGGGCAAGGATGATGACAGGCAGTCCTGTCTCCCTCTCCAACCCCGGGGTGACCTGTAAATGTCCCCCAAATGGGAACTGTTTGGGATTACCAGACCAGAATGCTGCATGGTTGTCACCAGTGATGGGATGATGAGTAATCTTAAGGATTTTGTCTTTCTTTTTGCTTCTTTTCCTTGTGTAACTTTCCTGCATTTTAGTATGTGTTTCTTGAATACTATTTGTAAGGTAAAAGAAAGGTCAACAAGCAAGGAGTAGGTAAACATGAAGTAGAAGGAGCTAGCTGTGGCGGATGGAACTGTAGCCTGAGGATCTGGAGCTCAGATCCTGGTCCCTGTTCTGGTCAGTCAAGGGGTGTGAACACGGGCACACTCCCCATCTCCTGCCTCTGCTGTGGGACTGCCTGCCCTACCTGCCCCACAGGCCCCTCATTTTGCCGTGGATAATGCGCTCCCATGGGTAGTGCACACCCACATTTTGGGCCCAAACTTTCAGGGAAAAGTTCTTTTGTTTTAATTTTTTAATTCAACATTTTATTTATTTATATTTAGATACTTGTTATTTTTTGTATTATAAAGGAATTTTAGCATTTATTTTTGAACATATTATGGTACAAGAAATTTCATGTAACAATAATTACAAAACACAACAAATACAAGGCCCAAAATTTTTTGAAAAGAATTAAAAACATTTATATAGATACAGAATTAGCTGTACTGATATATAATGCACACCCTTATTTTTCCCTCAAAAATTTGGGCAAAAAAGTACACATTATACACAGCAAACTATGGTATATTTGAGGATGAACACAAATTAGAAGCAGGTGGGTTTAAGAGTGGGAAGAAAATGGAGTGCCCGCCCGGCCAGTCCACTCACGTAGTTTGTGCTGCCGGATCTGAGCCCGAGTTCTGTGTATGTCCCTCGTCCTTTTTTAAATGTGCTCTGGAAAGTGCACACCACAGAGCAGGTGTAATTGTCAGGTGGGTTGTCACCTACAGTAATGACAAAAATAGCATATTTGGGGCCTTTTTGGATCTCAGAGTGTCCACTTTGAAATAAATCAATAGCCTTTTTATGTATATTTTATTGATTGTGCTATTATAATTGTCCCATTTTTTCCCCTTTGCCTCTCTCTACCCAGTACCTCTGTTCCCTCCAGCAATCCTCCCTGCCCCCTGTCTATTTTGTTCATGTCCATGGGTCGTGCACACAAGTTCTTTGGCTTCTCCATTTCCTATACTGTTCTTAATGTCCCCCTGTCTATTTTGTACCTACCAATTATTCTACCTAATCCCCGCACCTTTTCCCCCATTCTCTCCCTACCCCCTCCCAGCTGATAACCCTTCAAATGATCTCCATCTCTATGATTCTGTTCCTGTTCTGGTTGTTTGCATAGGGGTTTTTGTTGTTGTTGTTGTTGTTGTTGTTTTTTAAATTTCAGTTGATAGTTGTGAATTTGTTCTTCTTTTAATGTTCATAGTTTTGATCTTTTTTTAAGTAAGTCCCTTTAACATTTCATGTAATAATGGCTTGGCGATGATGAATTTTTTAGCTTTTCCTTGTCTGGGAAACACTTTATTTGCCCTTCCATTCTAAATGATAGCTTTGCTGGATAGAGTGATCTAGGTTGTAGGTCCTTGCTTTTCATCAATTTGAATATTTTTTGCCAGTCCCTTCTTACCTGCAAAATTTCTTTTTAGAAATCAGCTGATAGTCTTATGGGAACTCCCCTGTAGGTAACTCTGTTTTTCTTTTGCTGCTTTTAAGATTCTCTCTTTATCTTTAACCATTGGCATTTTAATTATGATGTGTCTTAGTGTAGTCCTCTTGGGGTCCAACTTGTTTGGGATTCTCTGTGCTTCCTGGACTTGTATGTCTAGTTCCTTTACCAAATTAGGAAAGTTTTCTGTCATATTTTTTTCCAAATAAGTTTTCAATTACTTGCTCTTCCTCTTCTCCTTCTGGCATCCCTATGCTTCAGATGTTAGTATGTTTGGAGATGTCCCAGAGGGTCCTTATACTATTCTCATCTTTTTTGAATTCTGTTTTCTTCTTGCTGTTCTGGCTGAATGCTTATTTCTTCCTTATGTTCCAAATCATTGATTTGAATCCTGGCTTCCTCCCCTCCACTGTTGGTTCCTTGTAGATTTTTCTTTATTTCTCTTTGTGTAACCTTCATTTCATCCTTTATGTTGTTGCTGCACTCAATGAGTTCTTTGAGCATCCTGATCCACTAGTGTTTTGAACTCTGCATCTAATAAGTTGGTTATTTCCATTTTGTTTGGTTCTTTTTCTGGGGTTTTGTTCTGTTCTTTCATTTGGGCCATATTTCTCTGTTTCCTTAATTTGGCAGCCTCCCTGTGTTTGTTTCTGTGTTTTAGGTAGAGCTGATTTGGCTCCCTGTCTTAGCAGCATGGCCTATTGTGGAAAAGGCACCTGTAAAGTGTGTGGGTGGAGCCTTAGGTAATTGTCAAAGCAGATCAACATGCTTCACTGCTTTGTAGAGGGGGATGACTCAGAGAGGGGACTATGCTGCTGCCTAGCTTCTGGAGGGTTGCCTGGCACTGACCCCATTTCTGGTCACTTGACCCACTACCCTGTATGCAACTGGTGCCCTTCCAGCTGTTGCCCTGGTGCTAAATCCCAGAGTGGGTGGGTTTGCATACTTTCTAAGATTGTGCAGGCCCTTTAAGGGCCTGAAAATTCAGCTCTTTCTTCTGCCACCCCAACCCCCACTGGTTTTTATAGCCAGAAGTTATGGGGATTTATCCTCCCTGTACTGGAACCCTGCACTGTGTGGTCTGGCCTGGGGCTGGGATGGCTTGCTCCCAAGATATCCTTCTTGATTTTTATGTGCCACACGTGAGTGTGGGACTGCCTGTGTCCATTCTGCTGCCACCTCTCGCACCACACCGCGTCTCCTCGCCTCTCCGTTCATCTCCTCGTCCCTGCCCTTCCTACCCATCTGGGTGAATGTGTCTTCCTTAAATCTCTGGTTGTCAGACTTCCACACAGTTCGATTTTCTGGCAGCTCTGGGTGTTATTTGTTTTGAGATTTAGTTTTAATTCTTTTTGTGGTTGTGCAAGGAGGTAAAGCATGTGTCTACCTACACTTCCATCTTGACTGGAAGTTTAATAGCATTTTTTAAACCATGCAAATTTCATGTTGATGTAAATATAAACCACTTAATATCTCTCATTGTTATGCTGTTTTTGTTGTTGTTAAACTTCACCGCTCTAGGGAAATTAGAATAACTTGAGCACTATTCATGTTTTTAACCTTGAACTTGTACTGGCCTGGTGACTGTGGTAGGGCAGAGACCCCCATCACCAGGCCTGGAAAGCACCCGAGAGGCAGGGAGACAGCAGAGCAGCACAGGCCTGTTCTCCAGCTGGCTGCAGTCTGCACTTCATTAGGAATGTGACAGTGAAACTGCACTTGACTGGCTGTCAATGGAGCTGATAATTCGTTCTCAGCAGTTGGAACTGTGCCTGGGAACAACTAAGCTTAGCCTTGATGGAGAACCCACTCTTCTGCCAATTCTGCGTTGGGTTGTAAGTGAAAGAGTGTGTCCCGATGGATGATGAAACACATTATTGTGTTTATTGTGTTATGCCTTTATTGTTTCATTGATGGGAAGCCATCCCACATCTGCCACACTCAGGACACTGAACTGATGAGGATGTGTCAGGTCCTGCTGCAGGGAAGTCATCTGACATCACTGCCTCCTATAGCCCTCACTGCAGCTGGGTCAGGAGAGTGGGGCTTAGGGTAAAGGGACTTCTGAGCCAGCCCAGGTGTCCCAGCCCTTAGGACCCATGTTGCAAAGTGGTTTGGAGTCCAGGCTGTAGGGCTAGCCTCCTGGCCCGCCCACCCTGCAAACTCTAGCTATGTCGTCTCGGACTGTGGGACTTGTCTCTCTAAAATGGATGATCACAGAAGCCACTGCAGAGGCTGGGATGACGGGTGGGAAGACCTTCACATGATGTCTGACACACAAACCTCAGGAATGTTGTTATTAATATTGAATGCTACTGTATATAGCTTTCTTAACTATTAAAGCTTTTTTCTTTTTAAAAGTAATTTTTGTTCTTTATAAATAAATCAGAAAATACAGAAAAGTAGAAGAACGTTGCATATTATATCGACTCTTGAGGCCAGTTCCTGTGAGCATTTTGGACCCCATTTTACTGTTTGCACGTACATGTGTGCATGTGTGTGCACACGCACGCTTGTGTGACAGGTGCTTGTTTTTAGTTAATTTGTAGTTGTAACTACACTGCACTATGTTGTATCTGACAGCCTATCTTTTTCCCTTACAGAGCATGAGCTTTTCCTATCAGCGTGTATATCTTTTGGGTTTTCTTATTCTATTAAGGAAAATTTAGCCAAAACATTTACATGGTAACTCTCTGAATCAAGAAATGCTAAGAAAAAAGGTTCTAATATTTTTTTTGAAAAATGGCATTTATAAAAGATATAATTTCCCAAATAATAGTGAAGAGGACTAGCAGCTTTCTAGAGAAATGAGTTGAACATATGTGATCACTTTGGCATTAAAGCTTTGAGTAATATTTTAAAATGCAAACATACAGCTTTTAAACTAGTTTATTTTCTTTTTCTCCTCAGGACAATTTTCCTAGTATTACTGTTTTCTCAATATGCCAGAAATGTTAAATTTCCTCTCCCAATTTACAAATCCAAGAAAGGATGGACTGCATACAAGTTGCAGCTTTTCAAAATGTTCCCTGTAAGTAGTTACATGTTTTTTCTCCCAACAATATTGCTCTTAGCTCATTAGGTGCAATGTTTATGTGAAAGAAGGGTTCTAAGCAGGTCTGCTTCGGTGGGGGGAGTGGGGCAACCGTGTCTGTGTGGTGACGTTGGGGTACTAATGACCACCCAGCTTGTCATGGATTTCAAGTTAAAGTGGTAGAAGCTTCTGATTCTGAAATCCTTTAGGAAGACATTGATTGATCCTGGGATGGGCGAGCCCTGCAGGCACCTTGTTCATTATCTGTATTTTACCAGCCAGATTTAGGGTTAAAGTAACATTAGCTGTGTAAAACTGCTCTCTCTAAATGTGCTTCCATTCCAGGAATTGGTTTTCAGCAGATCTGTTACGTTTTTTTTAGTGCAATACTAACAATGATGGGTTCTGGGGTATGCTACTCAGACCGTAGAAAGGCATGTGTTTTGCCAGCAACCACCACCTCTGTAGCCTGACAAAGATTATTTTTTTTTGGTCTACTTCAGATCATCCTGGCCATTCTTGTGTCCTGGCTGCTCTGCTTCATCTTCACAGTGACAGATGTCTTTCCTCCTGACAGTACCAAGTATGGCTTCTATGCTCGGACAGATGCCAGGCAGGGTGTGCTTCTGGTAGCCCCGTGGTTTAAGGTCCCATATCCATGTAAGTATTCTGGGGGCCAGAACAGGCAGGAGCTCACGAAGGCAACTTAGAGGAGTTGGAAGTTGGCAGAAGGCTGTGCCGTAGGAAAAGCCTTCTTTGTCTCTGCAGGTCTTACCATTCTGGTGGTTAGAGCATTCAAACCCCAAAGAGGAAGGGAGGCCCTGTCACTGGAGGACCATAATTAATGTGCAGAGACAAACCAGCCCCCTTCTCAGATTTACTGGTTGGTTCTTTTAGTTCCACTAGGGTGAAATCCTGGATAACTGGTCTCTTGTGGGGTTTGAGGTCAGGCAGCTGGGATTTAAGGGCAGCAGCTTAGAAATGCAAGTATAGAGAGCAACACAGGGCTCAAGCACCCGACTTGAGTGGGAGGGGCCTGAAGATTAGCAAGCAAACTGCTCAAGGATGATGAATTTGTATAATCTTTTAATGGGGAGCTATACTCTGTTTTTAAATTTGGTCACAGCTATGAAGTAAACTGATATTCACAAATGGGTGGAAGATGGATCTTAAGATTTAAGTATTGGATAAGTCTTGGTAAGGTGGAAGGTAGGGCAGTCCCCAGTGAGGTATCATTTGGATTTATATTTAGCACCTTCTAGATTCTCCCCCCAAAGTGACTCATGTGAACCTAGTGGCTGTTGATGCTTGCTGGTTCTGTTGAGAGGACTCTGTTCAGGCATTTGGGGGTTTTAATTAGAACCGAAGCCTGAGCTTAGCCAGGCTGTGCTCATTTATTCCCCTGTTTAGTGATCACATCTTCACATTTTATAATAACGAGGAGAGAAAGCAGGAAAAGCCAAGAATATTAAGATGGGGTCAGAGACAACTGTTGTGAACATGTTAAATGATGGTGACATTGGCAGTTGTCCCTTCTGTCCCTGACACATTTACAAACACTTTTAAAAGTGTTGTCTTTTTAATAAACACTCTCATCGGGTCATATGGTCTAAGTATGTATTTATGCCTACCTCTTCTTTTTTCAAAAAAAATGCATAGTTCATAAATATACATACAATCTGATGCAAAATAGGTTAAAAGTCAGTTGTTGAAGCAGTCAGGAGGAGGTCTAGGAGGGCAGGCAGGATTCAGGAGGAGGCCTGGGGGGGCAGATGGGAGGAAGCCCCTCAGTGTACGCTGGGCAGCCCTCCGCCTGTGCGGGAAGCTCCTGAGATGAGCACACACAGCAACGCAGGGGGCCACCCGGAGAGGCTGCTGTGCAGGTGCTCAGAGACGGTGCTGCCCAGCTCCCGCTCATGACAGCCCTTCACTGCCGTGAGCTGCTCTGGTGGCAGAGCGCCCCTGGGAACGGCGACCCCAGAAAGCCAGGAGAAGGCAGTCTTAAGTAGTCCAATGATTTGGCTTAATTTGGAGATCAGTTTTGATATATGTCTCTGTCTCTAGTATGCAACTTGGGTTGGTTGTTAAAATACAGATTTGGGGCCCAAAATGTCAAGTGCTGAGGTTGAGAAGCCTGCTGTAAAGTGACAACATAAACTAAAGGTTCTAGTTAGGGAGAGATGTTAGGGAGACATAACAGCAAACAGAGAAGTCAGAAGCCAGCAAGGTTTTAAATGTACATATAATCTGAAGAAAATGGGGTCCAAAATTTAGAAGATTATAAATTTAAAATGTTGAAGTATAGTAGGTGGAATAAAGGTTTTATAAATCAAAGTTAAGGACTTCAAGCACAAGGGGGAAAATAATAGAAAACAGTAAGAATAAAGAGACTAGGAAAGTAAAAGACAGTATCTGAAAATTAGTAAATGGCAAATTAAAATAAGAATCCCTCCCCTAAATCAAGACACTAGAATGAAGCCAAAGCATGACATCAGCAACAAGGTAACCATATAAAAGATTACTTAGAAAATACAAAGTGGTGTTTGTCAAAGAAATCACCTACATGAGGAAAATCTATTCCAAACCCACCTGGCAATAAGATGTTGACCGAGCCCGTTGCTGGTGGACACAGAGCATGCTGAGCCCTTGTCCATGGACGCACCTCTTGACCCTCTGACTGTGAGCCTCTGCGTCCTCTGGCTGCACCCAAGGGGTAAAGGGGGACCTCAGGTGGGAGCAGTTCTGTTCTCATATACAGTCCAGGCATATGAGTGTTCTGTTCATCTTACTTCATGTGTTATGTTTTTCTTCTCAAACCTAAGGTTGCTCCCTTTTACCTATGAGACAGAAGCCAAGTGCCTGTAGGTGGCATGTAGAGCCCTTCCTAAACCTGCCTGCCCCACGACACGTGTGCCCTCTGCTGAGCACCGGCCCGTCCCTGTGTGCCCGGTTCTGCCCTTGCGCTGATGCTCAGGCTGCTTGCTGCCTGCCCAGGATGCCCTGTCCCCTCAGCTCCCACTCTCCAGCCCCTCCCTGGACAGGGACTGTCCTCCTGACTTCCAGACTTGCACTCATTTGTGACCCACTTTGGGTTGCCTTCCTTAGAGGTCTTACCCTTACACTGTTTCTGGGTCATCCCATGTCTCTTCTCAAACTGCCCTGCTGACCCCACACAGGAGACCATTTTATCTATCCATCTTCCTTTTTCCACTGTGCTTTTTAAAACAGACGGTTCAGGGGAAGAAGGTCTAGGTACTTTATCAAAGAAGTCTGTTCATTCTAACAGTGGCTGTTCCTCATGCTACTTTTATTAAACAAGATCTGTGGCTTTGAAAGTCCAAAACAGGTTGTTTTTTTTTTTTCTTTCTTTCTTTAAATGTACATCTAATGAAGAATTAACTAAATCCAGATACTCAAAATGAAGCTGCTTGGGGAATTCTCTTGGCTTTCTTAAAGGAAACTATTTAATTTTCCATTGCTTGGTTCACTGAATATAAAAGAGCTTCTGTAACAGTAGAGAAGGGTTACCTATACCTTGTGCAACACTTTACTATTGAGGTTTAAATGTAGCTGGTGACTTTTCACTGCTTTTTTTATTTAATGCCACCCCCAGAGCCAGGGCACCAGTAGTTTGTACCATACTTTTTACAGCAGGGTTAAAAATCCTCATACAAATTTCTGTCCCAACACAGCAGGCTGTTTAAATTGTAATTTAGATACTGGCTTTGAAGCAGGAAGAGAAGGACCAGCCTCTTTTTGCCATACAGTTTCTTTTAAATTAGGACATAGAGCAGACCAATCCTGGTTACGGCCAGTTTCATCTGACTCAGGAACTATTCCCAGGCATAGCCACTGGGGATAAAGGTTTAAAATAGAGTATCCATGAGCTTCAAAATATGAGTTGATTTTGTGGAGTCCTCAGATGTCCTGAATGACTTGGTATCTGATAACTTTTGCCTGCCCTCCTAAGAAAGTGAGGATTTCACGTTTGTCTTCCTTTTGTAGTTCAGTGGGGGCTGCCCACCATCTCCGCAGCTGGTGTCATTGGCATGCTCAGCGCTGTTGTCGCCAGTATTATCGAGTCTATCGGGGACTACTATGCCTGTGCAAGGCTGTCCTGTGCACCGCCGCCTCCCATCCATGCAATAAACAGGTACATTCCTGAGAAAATGGGTTTTTATTGGGCCCAGCACCTCATTGCTTTGCTTTTTGGTTCGTCTAATCTTGGAGAAGAAGCTAACAGTTTCAGCACAGAGGCAGCCAGGCATCAGAGGTCTTCATTGGCTCTTTGTCTTCGGACAAGTCACTGTCTTCATCTTGCTCGTTTGTAACACCAAGCAGAATTCTCACCCTTTGTTTCTCACAGTGACACTCACATAAGACCCTCTCTGAGGCCACTCTGGACCTTAAACTCACCAAAACATATGCAAGACACTGCTGTGGTTCTTTGCTTGGTTTGGGGTCGTGGATGAATGTTCCCTTTATTATTATTATTTTTTAAGATTTTAGTTATTTTTAAAGAGAGGAGAAGGGAAGGAAAAAAAGGGAGAAAACATCTATTGGTTGCATTTTGTATCTGCCTCAACCAGGGACTGAACCCATAACCCAGGCACATGCCCCAAAGGGGGATTGAACCAGTGATCCTTCGCCTGTGGGATGACGCCTTACCAACTGAGCCACGCCGGTTACGGCCGTCCCCTTTATTTTTGTTTCCCCAGCTGTTCTAAGGGGTAGATGCTGTGTCATCTATTCACAATTACAATTCATATAAATAGATAAGAGCAGGAGTAAATGAAGTCTTCAGAATCTTGAGGTATGGAACTGTGGTGCTTAGGTTCTCAGCACACCTGGTCTTTAGTTTCTGGATGCCAGGAGTGAATTGGACTCTGGAGTCCATAGAGAAGATAAAACGACCCAGATCACCCCCACCACCTCTTCCCCACCCAGCTGCTGCCCCTCCAAAAGGGACTGCACGCGATGAGATCCAGTGGGCTGGTTTCTTAGCATTTCTTGCATTAGTTCTGTTAGGGTTTACAGTCATGTTTTTATATCTGTCTCCAGTTGAGCTGTCTCACATGATTAAAATACTTGTATGTTGATTTCTTTTTAAGAAGTGTCAATGTTTACAGAATTACAAAGCATGTCTTTCCTGATGAAACTATATGTTAATAGCAAAGGAATCAAATCAGTAGATGGTCCGTATTTGTCTTAGATCCCAACAAATGGCTGTTTTTCCGGCTAAAATCCTTTAATTTGGAATACTGCTTAAAAACTGTGCCTAATTCATGGTTCGCAGAGGTGCTTTTCAAAGCTGAATGAGCACGGTGGTCTGGAGTGGGGCCTGAGACTCTGCATTGCTAGCCCCTCGCAACGCATGTGGAGGTGACATATCTGCGGGCCAGGCCTTTGGGTCACAGCTATTTAGAGCATATTCCAGAGTGTTCCCCCATTGAATGAATGTTCTTTTTGCCCCATTCCTTTACATTTTAGGGGGATTTTCGTGGAGGGTCTCTCCTGTGTTCTCGATGGCATATTTGGTACTGGGAATGGCTCTACTTCATCCAGTCCCAACATTGGAGTTTTGGGAATTACTAAGGTACAACATTTTTCTAATTAAATGGTTGGGCCGCTAAGTGTTGATCCATTTCATTAATTGGTCTGACCACCTGAGTTCCACAAGGAAGGCCTTCAATTCTGAGATCATCTCCCTCATCTCTCTCTTTTTTTTTTTTTTTTTTGGCGAGGGGTGCCTGGAGTGCTGGTGGAGGTCTCTGCCCCCTCAGGGGGCTTGGGGAGGCAGGCACTCGGGTGCTAGCATGCCTTCCTGCACTCTACACATTTTTACTGGGCACCACAACCCTGTGCCAGCCTGCTGTTTCAGGCACTTGGGGTACATCCATCAGTGCATTAAAAAAATATCCCCATTGCTGTGGAGTTTACATTCTAGCAGGGGAAAACAAATCATAAGCAGTAAGCATTCTAAATATGATAGAAACATGGGGCAGGGTGGGGGGATGGGAAGTGAAGGGTGAGTGTTAAATGGGGTGGTCAGGCTAAGCCCAGCTGAGAAGATGGCCTGGAGCCAAGGTGTGAAGGAAGCAAGGGCAGGAGGGAGCTGTGCAGATGCCTGGGGAGTGGGCATTCAGGCAGGGGAGCTGCCAGTGCAAAGCCCTGTCGTGGTAGCAGGCCGGCCTGTTGTAGATCAGCAAGGAGGCCAGTGGGGGACAGGTAGGAGTAGATGGCATCTTCTAGGTAACTGAGGACCAGGTCACAGGCCCTGGAGGCAGTGGAGACTGAGTGGAGGGCGTTGCCCCAGGAGGAGGCTATTTGATCTGGCTTTGGTTTTGCTTTAGTTTTAAGGATAACTTGGCTGTTGGTGGGGGAGGAGGTGGAAGTGGAAGTCCAGTTAGGAGATGGCACTAGTTCTGGATGAGAGATGATACCACTTGTTACAGAAAAAAAAAAAGTTGATCTTCTAGTAAAGAATTAACATGGTTTTCAAACGGTAGCACCAGAACCCTTCTCCTTTACATGATATCAGTTGTAAAGTGAGTGGGTCAGAGGAGCCATGCAAGTCACCCAGGTTGAACAGGGCCTGTGACCTGTTGCCCCTTCTGCTCGCCCACCTTCAAACACAGACACGCGACCCTGGGGCTGCCTCACCTCACAGTTCGGCCTTGGTAGGAAGGTGCTTGCCTCTAGGCCTTTCAAATATGTTACTAACAAATAAAGTTTATATTCCAGTTGTTTTGGGGCAGCAATTTTCAACCTTTTTCATCTCATGGCACATATTAACTAATTACTAAAATTCTGCAACACACCAAAAAACACATATTTTGTCATTCTGACCAAAAAAATAGATATAATTTTAATTTATTCACACTGGACAGGTATTGTTTTTGCTGTTGTCATTTTTTAATTTGACAGCCTAAGGCAATACAGGTCAATGTCTCTGACTAGGTATAATTAAGTACTGCATATTTTAAAAATTCTTGCAGCACACTGGTTGAATGAAAACTGCTGGTCTAGGCCAAAGCGTGCTGTTTGCCGGGGTTTCAGTAGTGCAGCTCGGCCCCTGGCCCTTGTATGCTGTGCAGCTAGAGACTGTTAGAGTGGGTGCACCATCCTGGACAGCCTGCATGGGTCACAGGTCTCCCTCACCTGAGCCCTGTGTCCTGAGATCTGGGGGTAAGCTGGAGCCTTCTAGAACTGTTTCACTGTGTGAAATGGGAAACCCTCCCCCTAGCTCTCTGAGGTTCTATAGCTAGATAACGAGAAACCCAATACTAACTAAGTTTGGTTAATCTTGGCTGTAAATCCAGGGAGACGGAGCAGAGCACACAGAGCACAGGCCTGAAGTTGGTTTTCCTGTGAGCTGTCGGTGCCAGCACAGAGCTCAGCCTCAGGTGTGCAGATGGCCCCACCTGCTGCCTGGTACGCCGGCACAGGGTGTGTGAGGGCTGCTGATGGGCACCTCGTCCAGCGCCATCCCTGGGTCCTGTTGCTGCTCGTAGTAAGAACTGGATGCTGAGAGTGCAGAGTGGGGGCATAAGCCACTTGCTCTCTAACCAGTCTGCTGCATGAACCTGTAGACATATAACTAACATGTAATAACATCAGTGTAAAATTACGTTGTAGATGGAGGGGCCCTTAGGGGAAGACACTTTGATAAGCCAGCTCCCTTTCTGTACCCCTTTGAAACCTGCTGGGGCGGGGTCACTGTAGGGAGTAAGTGGTGCTGCTCATTGAGGTTCCCTTCTAAAACAGGACTGGGGTGGTCTGGGGAATGATTATTTTTATTTCAGTTTGAATGGTGCCAACTTACTCTGAAAGGCAGCCTGCCAGGGCTTTTCAATGAACTAAATTGATTTTCCTTCTGAATCCCTTTGGATCCGTTTCCCCAGGCAAAGGCTGCATCCGTTGGGGGCATTGTCATCCCTGGAATCAGTTTTCATGCCTTGTGTGGAAGGTGTAACCCAGCCATCTGCACAGCTGCCTTGGGTGGGAAGTGGGACTTGGAGCAGAAATTTCTCTGTGGCCTGGGCCACGCAGCTGGTAGGAGATCCTGTCCAGAGGAACGAGGCACGAGTTACGGGCTGTGTTGCCTCTTGTGCAGCTGCAGGATGTGGGACAAGTCATTTTCTTGAGTAGAGCTGAGGTCTGAAATCCGACAGTTCTAGAACTAGATCCGTACTGTCCAACGTGGTAGTTGGTAGCCAGCCACGTGCGGATCTTTAAGTTTACATTAGTTAAAACAAAAACTTGACTTCCTCAGTCACACTAGCTTCAGGAGCTCCATGGTCAGTCGTGACTAGTAGCGGCCGTAGATCAGCGCAGGTGCAGGATGTTTTCATCATCAGAAAGTTCTATCTAAGGGCTCCGGCATGGGCCATTGTGTCAGAATTCCAGGGCGTGTGGAAAGAGGGTGGTCTGTGGCTCTTTCAGAGAATCTGCCTCCCATTTCCTGGCAACTCTCATCTTTGCTATTCTCTATCCAGTTGTGGCATTCTGTGTCTGTGGAGATTCTAATCTGCTTGATCAGGAGTGCAGGCAGTTTATCCTGCTGTGTTCTGAAGTTCTGAGGGGTCAGACTGCATATGCAGGACTTCTCTGCTGAGTGTGTGCCAGTGTCTGTCCCAGAGAGGGGCAGACTTGGGGGAAGTGGCCGCGTTGGGTTCCAGCCCTGGCTCCATCACTTTCTCCCAGTGTGATGTCATATGTCCAAGTCTCCATGCCCTTGTCAACAAGATAGCATGCAGGGCATTGGAATTAGTAACTTGATGTGAGGCACTTAGCAGAGTCCAGCATGTGGTGGTACTCAGTAAGCTGTAGATACCATCTTCACATGATAGTGTTGAATGAACTCAAAAAGAGTTTGGAGGCTTTGGCTAGAAATAAATGATAAAGATTTATTCAGGGGTCTTAGAGTTTGCAACGTGGGAATACAGCTAAGCAAAGACCCAGGAGCTTTCTAAAGAAGAAGGAAAAATTAAGAGTTCTTACAGTAAGAAGTATCCTGCATTCTTCGCCCCAGGATTGGTCCAAGATGGGTATCAGTCAGATGGCAGGAGGTCAGAAAGATAGGTGCCAGAGGGTGTAGTCACTCCCGATGGTCAGGAGAATGGATGTCAGGTCTGCATACGAGGCCTTCAGGGCGTAATCAGAGGGTTGTCTGGAGGTCTGGTATATGTCCAGATGCATATACCGGCATTGACGCAGGACTGAAAAGTTCAAAAGTTTAAGTTCCTGGGCTAATTAGAACAGGAATAGAATCGTTTCCTTGTGCCTCAACAAACTTGATTTTAGTAATTTAGTAGGTTGACTGTTGTGGCTGTGTTTTATTTCTTTATCTATTCCTCAGTACTTAGCACTACATTTATTTCTAGAGAGTAAACACCATGTCCCTGTAGATCTCGTTGGGGGTGTCCAGAGGAAGGTCATATCTCCTCTGCTGCATCCCACACTGTTGAAAGCCTTTAGGAACTCAGAAACGATGGCCCTAGAAGCAGAGCCAAAGTTCAGAAAGGAGGTCAGTAGGGACGTGGGCAGCAGGAAGGAGACACAAAGGCTCTGTCACCACTGGAAAGCAGGAATTTCAGAGCTGTGTTTGGAACATAAGTGTATAGTAGGCACTCCGTTAATACTTGTTGAACACAAGAATGACCTCATTGCTGCTTGTGTTTTGTTGTTGTTGTTGTTGTAATTGTTGTTGTTTGGGGGTTTTTTGACAGCATCTAAGGCAGATCAGCCTTCCATGCCTGGTTTTCATACAGGATTTACTGTTGCAGGCATCCCTGGGGCCAGTATACCCCCTGCACACTGGACAGGGCTGCCTGACCCTGCTAGGAGGCAGTCTTTGCACAGGTGGTTCCCTCCGGCTGTATGCTTTTCCTCCATTGAGCCCTTTTTCTCCCTCAGACCATTCCTGGGATCCCTTTTCAACTCTTCAGTTTCTCTTCCCCCGGGCTCCTATACAGAGTAGAACAATCACAAAAGTACATGAATTTCATCATAAGCTTGTGGCTTATTCATCTTTGTATCTGCCTCCCGCCCCCAGTTTAACAAGTGCTAGTCACATAGTAGGTACTTAGAAATGCTTGCTGAAAAATGAGCCATTTATAAAAAGGCTTCCTTACTACGTGATACAGCCAAGCATAGGCCATTTTTACTGGATTCGCCAGTTTCCTGGCCCTGTTTGCTGCTTCCCTGCACTTGGCGCTGTGTGGGAGGAGCCGTGGGTGGAAGTAGTGGAGCCTGGGTGCCAGTCTGAGGGGACAGATCCTAGCTGCACAGCAGTCTGCACAGCGAGGTTCCTGATCAGCTGATCCTCGGGTCCCTAGAGGAGCTGCTGGAGGGACACTCCAGACAGCCCCACCCAGCAGAACACTGTGCAGCGGTGGCACTTGGGCAGCCCCATGTGGGGGCCACCAGCCTCAGTTGCCTGTGGAGCACTTGTAATGTGACAAGTGCAACTGAGGGACTAGGTCTTAATTTCATTTCACTTTAGTTAACTTAAGTGTAAGTAGTCATCCTCTCCTCACTGTAAGTCATACTTAAAGCCCTGTGGACACTCTCCCAGACATTCTGGAACCTCTTTTATGTCCTCTGGATGTTTTCCTGGGAAAGACAGCACAAAGTGGTAGCTAGGACGCAAGATTCTTGAACCCAGTGCCAGCTCCACCTCCCATTACCTGGGTGCTGTGGGCTGGGTGGAAACTTCTAGAAGGCAGGGATCAGATTTAACAGATAGAGTTGAGACAACATTAAGTAGTGAGTGGTGCTGCTGAAGCCTGGAGCCAGGGGGTTGGGGGTGGGGAGATGTAACCTTAGAATCAAGGACAGCTTTGCAGAGGAGGTTGCATTTGGATAGTGTTTTTTGTTTGTTTGTTTGTTTGTTTGTTTTGGGTTTTTTTTAAAGATTTTATTTTATTTTTAGACAGAGGGGAAGGGAGGGGAGAAAGAGGGAGAGAAACATCGGTGCATGGTGCCTCTCACATACACTGGGCACCTGCCCCGCAACCCAGGCATGTGCCCTGACTGGGAATCGAACTGTCAACCCTTTGGTTCGCAGGCCATGGGTAGTGTTTTGAGGGATGTGTCTGGGAACCAGCCAGAAGGGGGATATGGAAGAGGGTGTTTCAGACAGATAGGCCTGGGCCTGCCTGGTACCCTGAGGGACAGGCAGTAAGCCCCCAGCATGACTGGGGCAGGGCAGGGAGCTCAGTGGTGGGTTTGGCTCCCTTGGGAAGAGCCTGAGAGTGTGTTTTAATTCACAAGCAGCAGGGGACTTACGTAGGGAACTGACCTCCCAAATCAGTGTGTTAGGTCCTTCTACCACAGGATAGGTGGACCAAGGAAAGGCCAGAGGTAGCAGGCCCAGGTGGGAGGCTATCAAATAGCCTGATGCATGCTAGGTGCTGTTCAAACTATTTTACACGTCTTTTTATTTAATCCTTAAAGCAAAACTGCAAGGTTTAGAGTTGTGAGGATGGGGATCCTGCAACCCAGGGAGGTTAAGTAGCTTGCTGGGTCATGTGGGCAGAGGTAGAGTGGCGATGCCAGCCAGGCAGCAGGACTCAAGCATTCTGCACCTTGTCCTCTAGGCTGTGCCATCGCTAATGGGAAAGACACTGTGAGGAGAAGGAGGTTCCAGAAGCATTTGGGGGTTTTGTCAGATTCAGGGTACAGGGAAGATGGAGTTATTGAGGCTGAAGTGCATTGGGTGGGTTAACTTGATGAGTGAAGGGTGATGTCAGAAACCCAGAAGAGAAGCAGATGCAAAAGGTAGCTTTTGCATCTTGCATATGAGACACTCGAAGGTCATCCCAGCCAGTAACTACAGGCGTTAGAAACCTAGGACCTAAGTGCAGGAGCAGGTCCACACTGACGGGACAGCATCCAGGGCTCAGAGAAGCAGACTGAGTCCTGGCCATGCCTCCTTTCCCTCCAAGTCAAGGGGAGGAGAAGGGGACCAACAGGAATGAGGAAAGGTGATGGGAATCTTTTTACTCTGGGTACATTATAGTAATTTACAGTAATTGTGCACTGAGATCAGTCCTTATCATGAAATGAGACTGATTCTTCTTAACTAAACATTTTAAAAGTAATATGGATTTTGAATGAGGGTTTTGTCACATTTGCCCTGAAGGGCCTGGAGAATTTGTGTTGAACTGAACCTCTGCCTCTGGTGTGTCCTGCAGGTCGGCAGCCGCCGGGTGATCCAGTATGGGGCCGCCCTCATGCTCGCCCTGGGCATGATTGGGAAGTTCAGCGCCCTCTTCGCCTCCCTTCCAGATCCTGTGCTTGGTGCTCTCTTCTGTACCCTCTTCGGTAAAGTTCCATTTTCCTCTCAGGCTCATTTTATTTCTTCCCGTTTGCTAATTTTTCATAGGGATTATGGTTTTTTGCTAAATCTCTTCAGTACGATTAGAGATAACAATTTCTATTTTAAAATACAAAAGGAGCCTGGTGCCCCCTTTCACGGCGCCCGAGACATGCCAGGTCAGGGCGTTTGCAGCAGGGCCAGGACCTCTGGAGTCAGGCCGCCCGGGGTGGGCCAAGGACCAGCACCTCTGACCAGTGCCCTCTTGTACAGTCACCAGGGAGCAGAGGCCAGGGTAGCTAAATGTCGAGAGTGCCCGCGCTTTTCTGCAGCCAGGATTTTGGAGGGTTTGGGGGCAAATGTGGGGTCGAAGACCTCTCCCTTTAGCAGCTCAGGGGTCAGCAGGAAATTCAAAACCACAAGATGTTTGGACTCAGCAGGGCTGAATCTGTTTCACACAGAGAAGAGTGGGCAGGCCCTTTGGCTAAACATTGCTGAGAATTGCATACACATGCTTATAAACTTTACAAAGCTACTCTGAAAAATAAAAACACAGAAGGATAGGCCTTCAAAACATAAAACCCTACGTTACTCTCAGTTGAATTTATGTTGAAGGAACAACCAAAGGTAAAATATTTGGTCTAGGAAAAATAAGATGACATTTAATCTTTTAAATTGTTTTTTTAATTGGTGATTTAACTCAACCTATCTTACCTTCTGAATATGGCTGTTTAAAACAGACCATTTTTATGACAGGACTCTGTTCTGTCTCTCTGCCATTTAGTTGTCAGTCAGGGACTGGATATTCGGGCAGGTTTCCCAATTTAATAGAAATGTTTGCATAGAGGTTTCAAGGAGGAACCAAAATCCTTAGTTTTTTGCCTGGTCTGGAGAAAGCCTTACAGCAAGTGTGATGCTTACGCCCCTGAATAAGCCCAGCAACCTGGGTGGTCCCATTCAACACGCTCCTGCCACTTGTGCCCTCATCCTGTCCCTGCACTGGTCTTCTGCCTGGTTTCTGATGGGAGAAGGGACTCTGTAGGGAGTCTGCCTTCAACAGCTGTGAGTCATCTGTCATCTGTGAGCTCATCCACGTGAGTTATTGGAACTTGCTGTCTGGTGTTTTCTCCCTAGGAATGATCACAGCTGTTGGACTCTCTAACCTGCAGTTCATTGATTTAAATTCTTCCCGGAACCTCTTTGTGCTTGGATTTTCAATCTTCTTTGGGCTGGTTCTTCCGAGTTACCTCCGACAGAACCCTCTTGTCACAGGTAGGGAACATGGGCCCTGAACCTTGGGGGGTAGTTAGAACCACAGCCACCAGTTTCCGGACAGCTCGTCGCCAGTCAGAGGGGATTTGGAACATCAGGAATTGTCTTGGTGAATGTTCATCTGTGTATTTCATTTGAACCTCACTTTGTTGCCGCTTGTCTGGAGCCCTTTGCACTCCCACGTGAGCTGGCCTGAGTGTGTGACTAGCGTGTGTGTTCAGGTCTCTCTACCTCTCTCCTCCCACTGGACCTTCTCCTGTGGGAGAATGCCTCTGTGTAAAACCTTTTGACCTCTCAGACTAAGGCTGTATTAAAGTGTATAATTTCTTGAAACTCTATAGACTTTGAAATACTTGTTTTTCTGTAGGGATTATAGCTACTTTAAATTCAAGCTTAACCTTTTAGACTCCCTCTTTTAATTCCCCAATGTCATGTAGAGTGAAGAAAGGGGAACCATCTTATGCTGCTGACATTTTATGTAGAATTTGGGGCCATTTTTTGGAGTGAAATTCACATAACATAAAATTAACCATTTTAAAATTCAGTGGCATTTTAGGACATTCACAGTATTACAACCACTACCTCATATCTATTTTTTAAAACCATCTCATTACCCAAAAATAAAATTCCATAACCATTAAGAAGTTATTCCGTATCGTTCCTCTTCTCCCAGTCCCTGGCAACCACCAGTCTGCTCTCTGTTTTTATGAATTTAGCTATTCTGTATATTTCATATAAGTGGAGTCCTGTAATGTGTGACTTTTTGTGTCTGGCTTCTTGCACTTAGCATAATGTTTACAAGACTCACCCATGATATAGCATAAGTATTTCATTCCTTTAATAGAATGAAATTAAATTCCTATCATAAAATGTTACAGCTAAGTAACATTCTAATTGTATGTATATATCAAATCTGTTTATCTATTTATTCATTGATGGACATATGGGTTGTTTGTACTTTTTGACTATTGTGACTAGTGCTATTTAAATTGATGTGCAGTGCAATCAATCCCCCCACCCCCCCGGGCTGGTGTAGCTCAGTGGATTGAGCTCAGGCCTGGGAACCAAAGGGTGGCTGGTTCAATTCTCAGTCAGGTCACACACCTGGGTTGCAGGCCAGGTTCCCAGTAGGGGGTGCACAAGAGGCAACCACATACTGATGTTTCTTTCCCTCTCCTTCCCTTCCCCTCTCTCTAAAGATAAATAAAATCTTAAAGAAAAATTTTTTTAATTCACTTTACACATTCAGTACAATCAGTTCTCATTCGTGGTAGTTATGTTTTTGACCTGTTACTCCTGGGGGAAGATGGCCACCAGCTCTGTAACTGACGCCTGAATGAAGCTCATCTAACATGTGTTTTCTCCGTGAGGCACATCATGGACTTTTTGCAATTAGGAACACTAGACAGCCCTTCAGCACTACACTGGGGCCATTTTAATCAGTGAAATCACCAAACAAACACAGAAAAGCAAAAAAATGGTACCGATAGACTGCTGAAAGGATTATAGTGTGAGCTGCAACAAGGAGGCAGAGTGCCACCTTGTTTGACCTCAGCTGGTTTGACCTTGTTGGAACATGCGTGTTGGGTGACTCAGAGTTTTCACTACTTTGCGCATGTCCCTGAGTGACTGAGAGCCCCACGAATATTCATTTTTGGGTTTACAAATACATTTTAGTGTATAGGCGAATTTGCCAGTAATGAGGATTGACTGTTGGTTTGAGTAAATCACATTCGTGTGAAGACATTTTTATAAATTCAGTTGTTTGTAATTAAAGCTAAGCACAGATTAGTAACTCAGGATTCTGAAAACCTGTTTGCAGATACCACAAATATTTTTGTTGTCTTCTTAGTCACTTAGTAGTTTTTTCTGCCTTATGCAGTCATCTTTCATATCATTATTTTTTATCTGCAAACAACAACCCCCAATGGCTTCATGTTTTATTATAGGTGACTCCATTCTGTCTGATTTATCATCTGTGCACCAATGTTAGGAATTTCCCTTTGATTATTGTGTCTTCATTGTAGTTTAAACTATTACTGCACCTTCACCACAGGAATATACACTTGTGTGCACTGCCCTGACTGGTGATTGGTGCCACCCCAGGGCTCCTTTCCAAGGCCAGGGTAGGTCTGTGCTGGCTGGCAGTGACCCTATCTCTCTGTTCTCTTTTTAGGGATAACAGGAGTTGATCAAGTGCTGAACGTTCTTCTCACCACTGCGATGTTTGTAGGAGGCTGTGTGGCTTTTATTTTGGATAACACCATCCCAGGTATGTGTTTTGTGCCACATGTGCTTATTGCTTATGTGAGTTACTTTTTTGCCAATAAATATAGGAAGAAGAATAAGTCAGTTCAAAGCCATGACTGGTTAAAACTGTCTTTTCTAAAATGGTTAAGGTGACACTTCCAGCCTTCTTTTATCCATCAGTTTTTTTGCTAATAAACTTACTGGGTTGTTTTTTTCTTTGCTGAGTTACTTTTCAGAAAAAGCAGGCAAATCCCTTGTGTGTGGTGAAATGGCAGTGGGATGCCTTGGGCACACGCCAGCCTGCCTGCTTTCCTTGTGAGGCCTTGCCCAGCGCCCTGCAGTTCGGTTTCATTGACTTTCACACCCTTTCCGAGCCAGCTAGTAATAGCCTCTGGCACTTCTCTGCTTTGGGAGCCTGCCTTTTAAACGAGTCCTTCCAAAGGCAGCCACCAGCCAACTAAAACCAGGTGTCAGTGAGTGCAGTGGGCACAGGCTGCAGCCAGGATCCGTGAGTGACCGAGGTAGGCAGGTAGCATTTCTCCAATACCCACAACTCTTGTTTCTCAGCTGGGTGCTACCAAATGTCAGGTGATAGAGTAGGATGTGTTGTGGGTGTTGCCTTGCTGCCTTCCCAGCTTCCTACAGGAGGCTGCTGTGTACCATTGTCAAAGACGACAGATATACTGATAGATTCATCTGCCATCAAGGAAGGGGGATGGTTATTCTTATGCTTAGAGGCTTTACTGAGGTTTCCCCCTCCCAGTGAAGAGGTTGCTGGGGAAACTGAGGATGAGCACATCTGGCAGAAGGAATCACATAATATGAATAGGTGGAAGATGTTAGATTTATAGGAGTCAATAACTAATATCCTCTTTTCCTCCTAAGTCAACCAATTAAAGGAGAGGCAACAGAGAGATAGAAGTTAAAGTCAGCTTTGTTACTGAAATATCAGTGAGGGGTGGGGTCATACCTTAGATGTAAGGAGATAATGAGGATCTTAAATATTGCACTGTAGACTCGAACTCATCACCGAGGCTTGGGCACAAAAGTGTATTATTAGGTGTCCTGTTGTAGGTAAGGTTGGGTGCCCATGCTCCTGTCTGCACCAGGAAGATTTGTAAAGAAAGTCCAGGAGTTGCTGAGAGATCTTTCTCCCTGACCCATCTGTCCAGGTGCAGAGTAGCTCAGAGTGTTATACCAGTGGCGGTTCATCCTCACAGGAGCACAGCAAGTGGGGAACACGTAATGAGTGCAGTACACTCACACACACACTCATACACACACACACTAAAGTAGAGAAAGCAGTATGAAATCGGTATGTCTGGGTGGGGGTTGCCACGACTAATTGATGACAGCACTGTATATGGTATAATAAGTACTGTGGGCCCCATTTCGCAAGATCAGATTTGCGCGTTAGAGGGTGGGTTTTTGTGTTGAGAACAAATTTGGGCAGTGGGTGGTGAGACAGAAGACCTGACAGCCAGGTAAGAAACTCACAGAACGAGCCTGGGAAACAGTGACACGGCCTGGGCCAGAACTCACCAGTGAGAATGGAGAACATGCATCACGTGGAAGGACAGGCAGGAGACAGCGGCATCAGGATGTTGTTTGAATATGGAGCGAAAGGAACGAGGACGGGTTAGTGATTCTTAGATTTCCAGTCCAGGAACCTGGAGAGCTGAGTGCCACTGGGTGTGCTCTGCTGTCATCCCAGTGGGCTCCACCTCTGCACAGTGTGTTGGGCTCTCAGTTCTGGGTAGAACCGTTAAACTGAACATTCCGTTCTTTTGTTCTGACGTGTGTGTCTTCCGTAGGTACTCTGGAGGAAAGAGGAATCCGGAAGTGGAAGAAGGGCGTGGGCAAAGGGAGCAAGTCACTTGATGGCATGGAATCCTACGATTTGCCATTTGGCATGAACATTATTAAAAAGTACAGATGCTTCAGCTACTTACCCATCAGCCCAACCTTCGTGGGCTACACGTGGAAAGGCTTTGGGAAGAGCGCAAACAGCCGCAGTTCAGACGAGGACTCGCAGGCCACAGTATAGCTGTAGCTTGCCCTGTGGCCCGGCCGCAGTGAGGCATGAGTCTGTAGTTCCTTGCTGAGTAACAAGCAGTAACATATATGTTTGTATATCTGCATTTACATTCTGCACCCCAGAGCTAAGACAGATTGCAAATAGCTTTTTTTGTTGTGGGTGGTGATTGTGTCTAATACGGTGTCTCACCTATCTCCTTATTTAAGCCCTGACCCCTTGCCCTTGAGAGTGTCCACTGCTGGCTGTGGTCACTGAACTTGAAGTTCCTGCCCTCTTGTGGGAGTAGATGTTTGAAATCCACAGCGATTCTTTGTTTTCAGTCTCCCTTCCCCACCCCATGCTTGCTTTCTTACAAGCCTCCAGGGTCTGGGGGCTTTCTGTCCTGGAAGCACCTGGACTTGCTTGGTATATTTTAAATTAAAAAATTTTTTTTTTAATTTGACCTCAGCCTGAACCACAGAGGCCTCCTGTGGTCAAGGGGCACCAGTGTCCTTGCATTGTCACAACTGGTCAAATGTGATTCTGTGTTCACAGATTCTCCTGTGGGAGGAGGCTATTGCCCTGATTGCAGACAGTGACACGGCCACCCTGTGCCCCGATCCGTGCAGGGGTGGGGTCTGCACACGCAGTGTCAGAATGGGAGTTTGTCTGGGGGGCTGGAGGGGAGGGAAAGTACCTAGAAGTCAGTATCTGATTCTCAGCTGCTCCATCTCGGTGCCACCCTGGCCCAGGCTGGGCCAGCGCATTTCACACTGGCCTCTTTTTCACTAGTAGCTGAGACAGTCTGTCTTACTCCTGCGGTGTGACAGCTATAGAGTGCCATGCAGGGGCACCACGCAGGTGTTCATGGGAGTCTTGACTCTCCACTCTCCTGTCATGTGGGTGTCAGTTTTTGTCACCTGTGTCTATAAATACAAGCTTTTATTCCTATTTGATGTTACTGACTATAGCAGATTTTTGAAATCAGTGTTTTTCCACGTGACCCTCTTACCTTGCATCCCTATTACTTGTGTCCCACTGCTCCCTCCCATTAAAGAAAGAACCAGCATTTGTAAAGCTGTGGACACCATCAGGGAAGCTTGTTGTCATGGCTTTTGAAGGCCAGTAACCATTGTTGTGGTTGTGTTTTGTATTGCTTGATACCATGAAAGTGTAAATACTGTAATGCTTAATCTATTTATCAAAACTGACTACTGGACCAGAGCCCAGAAACCGCAGGTTACGTTACATGTGAATTTGTTTTGTGAAGCAGGGAAGCCGGGGCAGGCAACAAACAGCTGCCTTATTGAGTGGTCCGGCACACTGGGAAAAGCATCACCGCAATTCTGTTGCTAGTCATCTCTGGCAATTACGGCTTAAGGAGACTGTCTGTGGTTGCCGTGTTGCATCCCCACTGGGTCTTGGTTTTGCAGAGGGGAAGATTAGATCCCCTGGCCAAATGCCGCCGTTCTTGTTTAAGTTATTGCAGAAGGTAGTGGTGAGGAAGGCAGCCAGCAGGTCCCCTCTGTTGAGTTCTAATTAAATAACACTAAATTCTTCCTGGGAGAAAAATAAAAAGACTTCTGTCGAATTTGGTTTGAAATTTCTTCCGCCAAAGGAAAAGCCTGAGGCATAAAAGTAGAGACCTTGCTTCATGAGGTCGTGCTTCCTAAGTGTTCGTTGACCTGGTTGAGCCTTGGATGGCAGAGGGTGCTGCCGTCTCCAACCGCAGCGTGTGGTTCTGGTTCTCCGTGGCCTGTGCCCACGGAGTGCGTTTCCACTCCCGAAGCTGCCTCTGCTCCTTCGAGCTGGGATGTCTTTGGCGGTGTTGTGTCACTACAGCTCCTCCACTCCTGGGAAGTTTGGGGCTTCAAGGCTTGTTCTGGCAAAAACACTTCATTGTTTTGCCAAAATCTTATTGCAGGTTAAGTAAAGAATTTAGATTGTATTAATTTTGTATGTTACTTTTTCTTGAAGTGTATTTGATGGTAGTTGCTTTTGGAGCACAGTGGTTAACGAGTTTCATCCTTTTAACTTGGTAAGCCCTCGAGGCTGACAGCCTTCTGAGTTGCTCTTTAGTTCCTTCTATTTGTATTTTTACTCAGCATCTACAATTTCTCAGCTTTGAGAAATGGGGAAAACTATTACACATCCCAACGATTTGCAGTATTCTAGCTCTGGAGGTGAGCAGAAGGACCCAAATACCCAGATAAAAGCATCTGAACCATCAGTAATTCAGGAACAATTAAGTTCCCTTCAACTTAACGTGACTGCTCATCTTCTGCCCAGTGGGTAACACTCGGGGTATGTGTTTCAAGTGTCCAGAAACCCACTCCCTTCTGAAACCCCTCCTTGGGTCGGGTTTTATTGGGAGGTTTCAAATCTGCTGGTCCAAGGGGTGTCCACAGGCATTCGTGTGTGGAGGGAGGACCTGTACCCACATTGCCTGTTGCAAAGGGTTTTTGCCCTTCCCGTTCCATTGGGGCCAGTTGAGAGTCTCTGTCCGAGGGAGGGAGGAAGGAGGGGAGGGGTGGGGATGGGAGGTGGGGAAGAAGAAGGAGGGCAGCCTGACTGGAGGCCCCATTGAGTCTGGTACTTTCCGCACAGCCTGTGAAATTCACTTGCTCGAGCGATTGGAGCCTCAGGTTAAGTAATAAATCTTGCACATGCAGCCACACCAACTATTTTACATTTTAAGAAGCGGTCCTTCTGCTAGCAAATATGCAAAAGAATGAGTCTAATTGAAAGAAAAGGTATTCATCTGCTTCTTGGGTTTAACCACATGAGCTGCAGGGGAGGTTCAGGGGGCCCAGCATGGCCTTGCATGGTCTGTCCTTGTGAACCTCCCACTTACGCTGTTGGCTGGCCCTGCTGGGGCTGCACACCTGCTTGCTTTGTTGGGCCATTAGAATGTTTTAAAATATTTTATATGTGAATGTCCTTGGGCGGGGCATTTAGTCTCCACTTTCCACAGTGACCACCTACCCACATCGTCACATTTACATGAGCCATCCTGACATAAGTACGCAGAAAGTATTTATAAGAACAGTGGATGCTGCCATATCCTAGTGAAGTGGGTAATGGAGACCCCACCACTGGTTTTAATAAAATACCAAACACGGTTCATAGAATAATGGGAAGTAGCTCCAGCCTCTGTAAGCAATTTTCTTTCTCATTCTCATTAGGGAATTAAACTTAGATTCATTGGTACTGAATCTGAGTACCCTTAGAAGGCATCAAATGTACCTCGTAGTGAGTTTCTTGTGATTCATCAGAACAAGAGAAATGGCTTAACCAGGTCAGCTAGAATGAAGCATCATGGGTCCTGACGGTTTCTCATTTTCATGGCAACAAATTCACACACAGGATTTGCTTTATACTGTAGATTACTAACTTTCATGACAACTTGGTTTATGCATGAATATTGCAGTATTTCCATATAGTAAAATAACATTTCTACCCAGGATAATAGTCACAGTTTTCCAGGGAGGGAATGATATAATTTTCATGACAATGTCATGTGATGATAGAATTTCTCCATTGATGAATCTCTAGTATGTGTGTATACTTTATTTACCCATGCATATATTTTATGACTATGAGCTAAGTTGTTATTACTTTAATTCGTGTCCCTGCGGAAATACTGGTACTAGCAACCTAGATTTGAAGTTGGCAACTATAATTTTCCTTAACATTGATGCCACAAGAGTGGCCAGGCTAGAGAGAAGGTGAATAAGGAGCTGGGGCGGGAACCTCATTCCGGAACTTGTCTGGCGTGAGCACAGGCAGCATCCTGCAGACCACTGTGCTTGGGTGTGTGTGCACTTGGCTGCAAACACTGGGCCAGGCCTGGCAAGACTGTCACCGGCTGCCTAGTGTGCGTGCCCAGCCACACCTCCTGGACATCGTGGTTGTGCAAACATACCTAAGCGTTGGCAGAGCCCCGTTCTCTAGGAAGCTGGCCCTTGGCTTTGGAGAAGGGCCTGGATTCTCACACTCTGCATGTGTTGTGCTCTGTCCCCTTCTGGCTTGGAACGTGGAACAGGACAGCTCCCCTGCCTCTACCCCACCTAAAGTCACAACCCAAGCAGTGCAGGAAGACCACCCTTTTTTTGCCAGCGTTCAGTTTCCACCCATGGACCCAGAAAGCATGTAAGTGCTGGGGGTCCCCTAGCAGCCTCACACACATTCCCGTCCTTCTAGGTTGTTCTCGACTAGGCCTCGTAGTCGTCATTCTACATAAGTAACTTCCAGCGTCCTTAGACTCGCTGTATGTTCCCTGCCCTTTAGGAGCCCCTTGCCAGCGTAGCCGTCTCACTGACAGTTCAAGTTAACACCGTTTTGTTCGTTCATAACAGCCTTTGTTCCACATGCTAATAAATTTCTGACTGTTCCTAAAACAGTGGGGGTGCCTATATTTTCCTTGAGTTTTTGTGACCGACTTTGGCTATGTACCTTTTTGGGATTTTGTTTGTTTTTTTATTTTGCATACTGAGGGTATTTAGGGTGGGATTGTTTTTTGAGATGTGTAATTCTTTTACGGAGTTTTTAAAAAGAATTTTCATATTGTTTTTCTAACATGGCTTCATTAAACGTTTAAGTATTTTAAAAATATGTAATATTTGGACCAGATGTTGTGAATAATAGTAGAGATAAAGCTATTTTATTCTGTATTTTTAAAACTGTTCCGTACAAATAAAAGCTCTCCTGGCCGCAGTTCTGCTGTTCATGTGCTTCCTTTGGCTGGTCTTTGAGAAACTTCTCATTAATTAGAGTCATTTCCCTGAGGGAGGGAAATCGACTAATAAAAAGTTCAGTTCAGCTCTGGTCGGTGTGGCTCAGTTGGAGTGTTGTCCTGTGAACTGAAAGGTCATGGGTTCGATTCCCAGTCAAGGCACATACCTGGGTTGTGGGTTTGGTCCCTGGTCAGGGTGTCATAGAAGAGACATTCAATTTAAGTTGCATGTTCACATTGATGTTTCTCTCCCTCTTCCTCCCTTCTCTGTGAAATCAGTAAGCATGTCTTCAGGTGAGGATAAAAAAATAATTCAGTTGATTAAGTTCACGGACATTGTCACTGTTGGGTACCTGCAAGATGCCTGGAGAACCATGATGGGCTCCTTGGAGGATGCCTAAGGGGGCACTGAGACCTTGGGATGCACTCTGGCTGGACTTTGAGTGGAATTATGAGTCTCTTGTTAAGGCAGCAACACCTAGAGATTGGGGATCTTTTAGGGACTGGTGACCAGAAAGACTGTCTGCCCACATGGCAGAATCCAAAGCTCCAAGAGCAGCCTCGGTTGCTTCAGGCCCACTGAGTATTTAGACAAGCAGGAAATGAGCCAAGCCTGAGAGCAGTCTGCTGGCTCAGTCAGAGGCATGGCTCCCCGCTGGCGTGGGCAGATGGGTCCAGAGGTGCTTCAGTGTCCTTAATTTAGAGAAAACAGAGCTCCCCCATTCCCATCTGCATCCCTGATTCATCTCTCAGTTTGGGCCACGAGTGACCCCACAGCTACTCCTGTATTCCCAGTGTGCGGACCTGTGAGCCATTGCTAGGCAACCAGTCACACGGTGAAATGCTTAACATTACATTTATATACATGAAAATGTATAAAGTATAATATATGTATAAAGTATTTTTTGCTTTATAGTAAAAAGTACTTTAAAAGTATAAAGTATTATACTTGTAATACTTTTTAGTAAAAGTATCACTTTTTAGTAAAGTATTACTTAATACTAAAATGTAAAGTATTACACTTTACACTTGAAGGTAAAGTATTTTTTAAAATTAAAAGAACACCCATGTTCCCACCCCCAGCTGGGATGGCAGCAACAGCTGGGACATCACCAATGCTTCAGACAAGCCCCGCCCCCATGGGCCTCTCTTGTTCCATCCCCTTCCCTCACCAAGAGAGTGACCACCTGGACTTTGGGTTTACACATTTCTTGCTTTCCTTCACAATTCTGGTATATATACATACCCCTAAACAAGTTACTACTAATTTTTAATTCAGCCTGTTTTTGAACATTACAGAAAAGGCATGATACTGTGTGTGCATTGTCACGTTTCACTCACTGTTGGGGTTCATGTTGCTGCATACCCAGAGTACACTTCATCCATCTTCACTGCCGGGTAGTGAAATTTAGTATTCATAAAGACAAAGATCATTCTGCGAGCTTCCAGAGAGAATGAGCAGAAGCAAGGCCTGAAGAATTGGAACCAGTGGACACCAGGTTTTCCAGCAGCAATCCTGTTTGTGGAGTTTCACATTCAAGGACTGAAGGGAAAAAACTTGAAACTTAGAATTTTATGTCTGGCCACTCGAAGGCCCCTACCTACACACTTTGGAGGAAGTACTTCAGGGTGAGAAGAAACGAACCTAGGAAGCATGGTGGGAGATAACTGAGGGAAAGGCAAGCAAGAGGTATCTTGGTAAACCTGGTATCCTGGTCTGTGTCTGCCATCACAGAAAACTGTAGTTTGGGTGACTTAAAACAGTAAACATTTCTCAGTTTTGGAAGTTGGAAGTCAAGGCACTGGCAGACTCAGTATCTGGTGAGGAGCCCCTTCCTGGTTCATAGACGGTCATGTTCTTGAGGTGTCTTCACAGGGTGGGAGGCGTCAAGGATCCATCTCTTGGGACCTCTTCTCTGAGGACTAACCCCATTGATGAGGGTTCTGACCTCATGCCAGACTCACCTCCCAAAGTCTCCACCTCCAGATTCCATCACGTTAGGGATTAGGTTTCAACACATGAATCCTGGAGGACACAGTCCGTAGCACCTGGTCATAAAAGAGAGGAGGGCCGAAGGAGAGAAGAAAACCCGTATCTCAAAGTACCGTTCAAGGCCACATCACCTTGGTGATGGGGAGAGAGAGGAGACCGACAGAAGTGAGAGACATGGACCCAAGTGTGCCAAGAACTGTAAACGGACCAAACTTGCCAATGAAAAGGCAGACCGTTAGATCGGATGGCAGAACAAAATCCTGATACACGCTGTGTCAACACTGGTGAGCAAGTGTAGCTGCGATGGTTGAAGGCTGCGACAGGGATGTTCAGAAGCCAAGAGTGTCTTAGAAACTTTTAAAAGCTTTATAAAATTTTCGAACCAACTTGACAGTTATTTTATGTGTGTTGAATCTAATGTGTGTTGACGCTAGAATATCTGGCTTGTACTTTAATTTTAGTAAAATAAACTTCCAGAATTGTATTTATTATTTAAGAAATAGTTTACAAAAGCCTTAGAGCCTATAATAGATTGGGAAAAACAAAAAACAACTGATCCTTTACCACAGCTGGTTTTAAGAGCCCTGGTTCACATAAGGATAGGTCGAGTTGAAAGAAGGATAAGGAGAAAAATCACACAGGCAAATACTAATTATTTCTTGTTATTTTCAGACAAACTGAGTCCTAAGACCAAAAAAACATTGTTAAGGATTGAGTTCCTGATGTAATGATACAAAGGTTCCATTTTCAAAGAGTCCATTTTTAATGGAATTGCCTTTTGACCTGGCCATTTCACTGCTGGGATTATATCCTAAGAATCCTGAAACACCAATGCAAAAGAACCTGTGCATCCCAATGTTCACAGCAGCTCAATTTACAATAGTCTAGTGCTGGAAGCAACCTAGGTGCCCATCAGTAAATGAGTGGATCAAAAAACTATGGTACCTTTACACAATGGAATACTATGCAGCAGAGATAAAGAAAGAGCTCCTACCCTTTGTGACAGCATGGATGGAACTGGAAAGCATTATGCTAAGTGAAATAAGCCAGGTGGTGTAAAACAAATACCATATTACCTCACCTATAAGTGGGACCTAATCAGCAAAAAAAATAAACAAGCAAAATATAACCAGAGACACTGAAATAAAGAACAAACTGACAATAACCAGAGGGGAGGTGGGAGGGACTAATGGGGGGAAAAGAGGGAAGGGTTGTTAAGAAGCATGTATAAAGGACCCATGGACAAAGCCAAAGGTGGGTAGAGTTGAGGGTGGGAGGTGGGAATGGCTGGGGTGGGTGGGAATGCGAGGGAGCGGGGAATGGAGACAATTGTACTTGAACAACAATTGAAAAAACAAGAGTCCATTTTTAAACACATGTACCCAATCAGACGGCCTCAGACTTCATGCAGTAGAAATGGATAGGACTAGAGGGAAAAAGTTGATAAATCCACCTGCCAGTAGGAGATTCCTACACTTGTCTTTTGATGTCAAGCAGGCAAAAACTAAGCAAGGTCTAGTGACCAAAGGGCATGTTTAGAACTCTGCATCCAAAAATTGGAGAATACCATTCTTCTCAAGCACTTGTTTCTAAAAGCTGTTCTGGTTCTAGGCATGAGAGCAAGGCTCAAAAGATTTTAAAAATAGGTATCATATGGAACACGTTCCCTAACTATACACAATTAAGTTAGAAGTTAATACTAAAAAATATTAAATCTCTGCATATTTGGGTGTATAGAATATGGCTGAGTAGCTCATTTGGTTAAAGAAGAAATGAATAATAGAAATGTTCTTTAATGAAGGTCCTTGCTTGTCCTCTGTCAGTTCTGTTCACACCTCCTGGGATCCGATTTTACATTCACACTGCATTTCCTAGGTCTCTCCTAAGTTTCATACGGTTTCACTCATACTCTTCCCACTTCCTCTAAGATCTGGGAGAATTTCCTGAGCTGAGTCACTGACTGGGTTTCCCAGAATACCGACCCTCATGTCTTCTAGTGCAATTTTTAAGTAATTTAGGTCATTTTCAAACACAGGCAAAAGTAGAATAGTGTAATAACCCCCCACGTGCCCATCAGCCAGCCTAGGACATCGGCTCCTGGCCAGTCTCGTTCCATCGTCAGCTCTCCTCCCTCAGCTCTCCTCCCTCGTTGTTGATGATGATCAAATCCCCGACATCTTGCTTCATCTATAAGCATTTCAGTCATTACCACTTAAATACAGATTTTTAAAAAATGAATTACCATATCTTAAAAACTTGACAGTATTTATTCAATACAAGCAGTTTTCTAGTGTTCAAGTTTCCAACTGTCTCATAAATGTTTGAAATAGGATTCACATAATGTCTGTACTTTGCCACTGGTATTGGTTGACAGTCTCTCTCTCCCTCCTTTGCAGTTTCTTGAGCAACTTGACCTTTAGCTTCCTGCAGGAGGTGCTGTTCCTTTGCCTGAATCTGCAGTGGGAGAGCACTGCTAGCTAAGTGGCTGTGTCCTGCCAGGGAGCTCGTGGTCTCTCCTTTCATGATGCCCTGATGCTCAATTCCCAGATCCAGTAGTTTCTTAGGGGACGTTGCATTTGTAAATCTGGCTTTGTGATTGTGTTTCAAATCATAATTGCCCACAAGGAGATCTTTTTCAAAGATGCAATACTCTCAGTTTCCACTGAAAATATATTTTAGGGACTTTGCTGAAAAGTTTTCTCCATTTCGTCGGTTTGTTTCATTAGGGAGTGTTTCTTCCAATTCCTCAAAATAAACCCTTCTTTTGGACTAGTGAATCTTTTCACACATTTGGTGATTTTTTTTTCTTACTGCTTAAACTAAAAAAGGAGGTCTGTGTTTGCTCAACAATAGGATGTACTGTGGGTTTGACTGGGTACTTTTCCCCAAACCTCATGAGTTGAAATGAAATCCTTTAGGCCTTTTGAGTTGGCCTCTCCTTGGACTTTCTTCAGTTTGGTTCCACCTGCATCCATTTACCAGACTCTT